GCTGGCCGGAGAGGACGGACGCGCGTGTCGGTCATCTAAGAGAGAGGAAACTACATAGATGCCGAGTACCCGGCTCGCACCCGGGTCCTGGCCGCTGTGCGGTCGCTGTGGTGTCGCCTACGGAGCTCTATGTAGTAGTGCCTGTTGCGGAGGGCTTAAGGTGCAAACCTTGGGGTTCCGTGGTTCTCTGTGCACGCCCAACGACAACGAAAGGCCGTAAGCCGCAGAGAGCCCGGTAGAGAGGTTCGGCCTCGCCTCTTTGACTAGATACCCCTTTGAGGCGGATCTTCGCTATGTAGTTAGTTTAGGTAGCACGTTCGTAGGGATTGCGAATCTAGGGACTTCAAGGCCTGGACTGGCTGATGGACTCGGGGAAACTGCCGATGTACGGTCTGGCCAGGAGGCTAGAGCTGGAGCTCGCGGTCTGATACCCTTTCCTTCGAAGGCCAAGAGGCCTTCCCCCTTTGTATTTGCAGGATCGCACACTGATTGTTTCCTTGATTGTCGATATGGGTTTTTCACCCGGCCCACGAGGGCGCGGTTTTCCTGTATAGTAAGTTGTTGAAGGTCCGGCAAGCCCAAGGGAACAGCGGTGTAGGAATAATATTATACGATATGCGTTGGGATCCATCGTCTCTCGAGTCTTGGGAGCCAAGTCATACAACTGGGGTCGCAAATTAGTATCAATATACAATCCTTCCATACCATCAGCCATGAGTCTCTGGCGAGTTCGTACCCGAACAACGAGCAGTCAAGTATCGACAAAATAAGATCATTCGCTGTTACTCCTATATGCCCTGTCAACCGCCGCCGACGTCGAAGACGAACATCTCCTTAGCCGAATAGGCCGTGCTAATCTACACATTCTGCCGAGAGATGTCCGCCACCCCGAGACCGACGCCTGTCTTCCGGCCCCTTTGTAACAGAACTCCAGGGCAACAACGACTTCAGAAGTCGTCATTTGCGTTCTCCCCGTGCCTCCGAGGACCGCATATACCCCTATTGCAATAGTGGGAGCAGCACATTTGATGCACGCCAAGAGAGCACCCTGTTGAAGAGTTACCTTGTGTGAGAGAAATCTGACGGGGGCAGTTGATATACGCACTCCTGCCGTCAGGTTTACACATAGGCTCTGGGGCTCCTTCAGAGTCCCGAAAGATGTTGATGACAATCAGGCCCTCAGTCAACGGCGCAGCTTCCTGTTGCGGGACTTGGACTGCCACGATGACTTCTCCGCTGTCACGATTGTATTCGGTCGGTGCCCCAAACATGGCCTTGGCGAGAGCTAAGAGCAGAATGGAATGTTTGGCGATCATGATTGGTAGAAAATCAAACGAAGTAGACCGTGAGAAGTGCTTATCTTTGAGGTGTCGGCTGAACAAGACAGAGTGCCATGGTAAGGCATCCAGCGAGGGCTTATATAGTGAGTCGGGAAAAACAGATCGCCGGCGAAGCCTGGGCGATCTTCCTCCGCTCAAAGGACTAGTCTCTCTAGAGTGGACGTCACGATGCGCAACAAAATCCATTGCGATGCTGATCATCACGTCCATCATCCAAACTCCCGGCTTGTCAAGATTAGAGTAGCCAACAACTTCGCCAGAGGAAAGAGACAACACAGACGATCAAGTCTTCCACCAATCATTCTGACCGAAGGCTGGCAACTGAGACAAGCCAGCGTCTTGTACGGATTATTTAGTGAGCTATTGCTGCAGCATGACATTACTATTCTGACCGCAACCTAGCCGCAAGGCTCGCGATGAGCGGTTGAGTAATGTCCCTACACTTGGACTTGAGGGATCCCGTTTTCAAGATCAGCTACCACAGTGCATCTAGTTTGGTAGCAACGTCATTGAGCTGGATTGTCTCCTTGTTAGCCTTTTGTTGGTTGGAAGTACTACCCGCTCCACCAACAAACACATCAGCCGGGGTAGAGAACCGATGAGAAAAGCATTCCACGCCGGCAGACCTCGTATTACGAAACAGAGATGCTGTTGGGGTTGTTCGCTCCAGTCTCACCACAGCGGCTTACTGGAACGGGCGCTCACTGAACCTTAGCACGATGTACTGTGGTTATGAGCAGACCGACTTGATTGAAGATCGCCGTGCCAGAGGCAGGCTGGAGAGGTCTGCCTTATATACATGATGGGGCGGCTTTGTCCTTGTTGTGGGCAGGGCTGTCGGCTCAATGTAAATAAGGAATTGCGCCAGCTCTCCTGCAACACCTCGTCTTCAGAGATTCAGATTTCTAAGCCTATTAGGTCCACAGATGGCTCTTCAGTTGTGACCTTATCAAGCGATTTAATAGGGAACCGGCAGACATACAGGTTTTATTGCACTCTCGTTTTGGCTATTGATTAGTACGGAATTAGGGGTTCTTGCCTTGATCGAGTTTTTCTATGATTTTCTATGAAGACTTGGTCTATGACTTGAAAGGCCCGGCCTGTGATGCGGGTTGAGCTATTCCCTGCCGCTGCGATAGAATGTTGCAGCCGAGTTGCCCACTTGAAGTGCCCGCATCGACTCAAAGAAGCTAGGCGGTGGAATGGCCGAGCGGTCTAAGGCGGAGGATTTAAGTATTTTCTTGAACTCCTCTTCTCGAGAGAGAGCGTGGGTTCGAACCCCACTTCCATCAATGTTGTTTTTGGTGCCGTGCGCCATATTCTTTTCGAAATTGTCTGGATGACTTCTCGCAAAACACATACGTTATTAGCCCTGCTAGTCTCTTCAGAGTTGGACTTTGTTTAGTAGACGACGAGCGTATGTTGTCAGATACAAGTCTCAAGGGAATACTTAGCAGCACTCGAACAAGGCCACATGGCGAGATATGACACCGGATGATCAAGGATTCAATGAAGTTTTACTCATCTCTCGCAGGACCCTATCAATTCGTCCCGACAAAGCAGAAACCTATCGTCGCGAACCCAAATCTCGCCCTCCGGTCTTGATGTTGGATACCACCAAAGAAAAACAAAATACCTCTTTTTTAATACAGCATCGGAGCAGCTCGCCTATTCCCACACGGCCCAAGCATTACCATCAAGCCCTTCCCAGCCAACCCCTGACGCCCACCCCGAGGGAAAGATCAGCAACAAACCCAAAGCAAAAAGCCAGCTCAAGCACCGCACGGTCACCGCACCTCACAGCCTCCACACAGGCGGCTCATCCGGCCGACCAGACCGAGGCCACAGGACCTCCTAAGCCTCGTAGCTCTTGATCTGGCCCTCGGCACTCAGCGGCTGCACGGCACCGGGCGCGGGCGGGGCATGGAAGCCCATACGCTGGGCGCCGCCACTGTCGACAACAATGTCCTGGGCCATGCGCAGGCCCTGCTCGCCGCCGACGGCCGCGGCCTGGCGCAGCGTCTCCTGTACCTCACGCACGCGGCGCTTGAAGGCGAGCCGGTCCAGAAACAGCTGCTGGCGCGCGCGCTCCAACTCGCGCCGCTCCGCCTGCAGCACCGCCTCCATCTCGGAAAAGTACTTGAGCTTGACCTCCATCTTTTCGAGCGTCAGGTTCACCGCCGCCGACACGAGCCGCGTCATCTCGCGCTCCTCGTGGGAGACAAGCCCGCTTGCCCGGGCCCCCATGGCCGCCAGCGGGATGCTCGCCAAGGCCGAGGTGGTCGTTGTCGTCGTGGTCGTGGTCGTGGTGGTAGTAGTCACCTCGTGCCGGATATCGACGTCCATCGAGTCGCCGCCCTCCTTCTCCTTGCCCTTGCCATTGGCTTGGGCGTCAGCTTGTTGCGTCGACCCGCCGTCGAGCTTGTTCCGGAGGTTCTGCTTGAGGATCTCGGCCGACTTGTTGGCCGCAGCAGCCGTGGTGGCGGGATCTGCAAGGCTGGCGAGGAACCCGACGACTGACATGACCGGGTTGTCGGTCTGGCTGAACGGGAGCTGGCCGCCGTGGCTGCCCAGCATCTGGAGGCCGATCGGGGCATCCAACCTCTCCGACTCGAGGTACTTGTCCTCAATATCCAACTGCAGGAATTGCAGCACGCACTCCTCGCGGGTCCGAGTCCCCACATACTCAGCAATTTCACCCCAGTCCTCGTCGTAGCGTTCGAGCGCTTCCAAGAGCCGGAGAATCTCGGCATCACTCCATGGTGCGTCCCTATCGAGGATAGACGAGTATGTAGGATTCTCCATGCGGGTGTAGTGGGCGCTGGTCTGGTTGCCTGGCAGGCGCCCCTCAATGTAGCAGCTCGGGCATAGGTCGTACTTGGCCTTGTTGTTCGGGTCGGATTGTGAGCTGTGGTAATAGATGCGCGTGCAGTCGGTGCCACAATTGAAGCAATTGACCTTGACGATTGGAGCCTTAGTCAGTTCGTCGGCGCCCGCCACACCGTTAGTTGTCGGCGTTTCACCGTTGGTCTTGTTGTCACCCTTGTTGAGCTTGTTGAGCTTGGCATTGGCTTCGTAAATATTGCGGCCAACCTCCAAGTTCAGCTCCGTCTTGGGCGCCGGGGTGGCCGTAGCCTTGGCTTCGGTATCCTTGTTTTGCTTGCCCTCGGTGATGACAGGGTCTGCTGCTGGCTGCCAGGGCTGCAGGCCACGCGGGGTATCACAGATGATCTTGAAGTGGCCGGTAAAGGGCGGGCCAACGTGGGATGGCCGCTGGTCAGCATCGACCTGGACAAAGTTTAGCACGGGCATTGAGGCACTGCATCGGAGGTGAGTTTAACCTACCTGATAGTTGATAAGGCCCCACTGTTCGAGGAAAGCATGCACGCGCATGATGGCGCAGACATCGCCAGCCAGGTTGCGACGGCAGGCCGTGACAGTGAGATATTCGACAGGGTTCAACCGGTAGGCGTTGATCATGAAGTCGCGGTAGTCTTTGTATACGGCAGGAGTCTTGCTCCGGTTCCTGTTGTTGAAGAACTCGGGCAGCGCTTTCCGCTCAATGTTGTGGATCGTGTTCATGTCAAACCAGGTGCTGTAACTGGGAAGCACAATGGCATGGGTCTGGGAAATCAAATGCTCCCTCGCGGCGTTCTCGATAAACTCTTTGGTTTTGGCCTCGCCGGTAGCGTTGGTCTGACCAGCCGCTTCGGCCTGCGCGGACTCGTTCTTCGGCGCATCATCCATCTCTTCGTCCTGGCCAGTCGTCTCGGGGGGTGGGCCTTCGGGCGCGTCGTGGGGGTTATCTGATGTCGCACCGGGCGCAGGTGTGGCGCTGTCTTGCTTGATCGTGGGTCCCTCGCTCATCTGCACATCTAGATGGAACGGTCGATTAGCATATCACCCGGTCGACAAGACAGGATGACGGGATGAGCATACCCTCGTTCTGCTCATTGACATCAGGGAGAGGCGGCTGCGCCAAAATTGGGTTGGCGCCGGGTGATGCGCCATTTGTCGGGGTGCCATAGCTGACCGAACTTTCCTCCATTGCGACGCGGCGATGAAGCTAGGAAGCAGGTGCCGTCCAATCCACGAAGTGATTAACAAGCCACCACACAGGAACTCAGGACGTCACGGAAGGCTGAGTTCTGGAGCGTGTATCGACGGGAGTATTGACAACGCGATTGTTTTGGTAGGACGTAGGAAAGAGCTTCCGGTGTGAGCCGGCGCAACTGCTGTTTTGGCGATGGTTACAACAAGGGGACGGCGGCTCGGTGAGTGGTCGCGTTGAAAATGTTCGCGACGAACCACAGCAGTCTGGTGCACGGGCCAATTTGGTGCTGTCCCTGAGATCAGTCACTTGACATGAGGAAAGTGGCCAGCCACAGCGGGCTGCGATCACCGCCACGCTTGAACCCCGTTCTGGGACCTAGGCTTGGCATGTGCAAGTTCGGGAAAGCGGGCTCTCCGAAACTATCCTCGGGCCGCTGCAACCCGCCTTTGAGTCTCGCAGACTGGCTTCAAAGTTCAGACTTCTTTGAGTCCTGTTCTCCGGACTCCAAGCAGACAATCTTTCAGCCAGCGAGCCGCTTCCAACAAGTCAATTCCATCCGAAACCATGTGGTCGGCCGGTCGCCGGGTATTCTCGGCGCTTGCCCGCCCGACATTGCGAGATGCGACAAGTCTTCCTCCCTTCGCTAGATCCACCGCGGCCCTCCGCCGACTACTCTCCGCCCTGGCCGTGCTCGAGCATCGCAACGGGCAGCTCAACACGGGCTCCCTGAGCGCCGTCACCGCCGCCCAAAAACTCGGCGGCTCCGTGCACGGCTTCGTCGCCGGCGGCAACATCAAGGAGGTGGCTTCGGAGGCGACCAAGATTGAGGGCGTCGAGAAGATTATCGCGGTCGACAACAGTGCGTACGACAAGGGTTTGCCCGAGAACTTTGCGCCGCTGCTGGTCGAGAATATCAAGAAGGGCGGCTACACGCACGTGGTGGCGGGCAACACGGCGTTTGGCAAGAACGTCATGCCGCGCGTGGCAGCGCTGCTCGACGTGCAGCAGGTCTCGGACATCACGGCGATCGAGGATGATAAGACGTTTGTGCGCCCCATCTACGCGGGCAATGCCATCGCCACTGTCGAGTCGTCGGATCCGGTCAAGCTCATTACGGTCCGCGGCACGGCGTTCCCGGCCGCGGCGGTCGGGAGCGGGTCAGCGGCGGTCGAGGACGGCGTCGATCCCAAGGCGGAAAGCCCGACCGAGTGGGTCTCGGAGGACCTGGCCAAGTCGGACCGGCCGGACCTGGCGACGGCGGGCCGTGTCGTGTCGGGCGGGCGCGGGCTCAAGTCCAAGGAGGATTTTGACAAGGTCATGCTGCCGCTGGCGGACGCGCTCGGTGCGGCCGTGGGCGCGTCGCGGGCGGCGGTGGACAGCGGGTACGCCGACAACAGCCTGCAGGTTGGGCAGACGGGCAAGGTGGTCGCGCCGCAGCTGTACATGGCCGTGGGCATCTCCGGGGCGATCCAGCATCTGGCAGGCATGAAGGACAGCAAGGTGATTGCGGCCATCAACAAGGACGCCGACGCGCCCATCTTCCAGGTGGCTGATGTTGGGTTGGTGGGGGATCTGTTTGAGAAGGTGCCAGAGCTGACGGAGAAGCTGAAGAAGGCGTAGTAGACAAGATACTCTACAGCTAAAATGTACAAAATATCATGTGTATTCGCACACACACACCACCATCTTACACCCCCCGCCGCATCATTACCCCAAAACAGCAAGCATGTCCCCCGTCCTCGTAAACTTCTCCCTCTCCTTTCCCACCCTCGCCCCCCTCTCCCTCTCGGCCGCATCAATCCTCCTCCACCCCTCCCAATCCACAACCCTCACGCCCCCAATCCCACTCTCCTCCCCTTTCACCCCGTCCCACCCCCCAACATCTCTCCAAGCATCATTCAAAAACGCCACCCTTTCATCACCCCAGTCCTCGGCGATGGCATCGGCCGTGGAGAAAGCGTCCTCCATCGTCGACGCAATCACGCCCGTCGGGCCCCTCTTGACCCACCCGGCGCAGTACAGGCCCGGGAACCGGCCCATGTGCATGGAGGCGTCGGCGGAGCGCTCCTCATGCTGCACGCGCCCGCGGCCGTCGTTGCTGATGACGCCGTGCCGGTCGTTAAAGGGGATACCGAGCGGGGCGAACTCCGGGAGCGGGATAGACTGGTAGCCTATGGACCGGAACGCGAGCGCCGAGGGGATCGTGTGGGTTTCATTGGTGGGGAGGGTGTAGGCGTTGGGGTCGAAGGGGGAGGAGAGCGTCGTGCGGGTGAATTGGGTTGCTGCGAGGCGGGAGGGGTCTGTTGGGGAGGGGAGGAAAGCGGCTGGGCTGAGGAGGAAGTCGAGGGACCAGGATTTTTGGGATCGGGAAGGGGGTGTGGGCGAGCCTTTGAGTAGTATGTCCATTAGTCGGCGCGGCGCGCGTGGCAGGGATCTGATGTCTTCTGGGACGAGGGTCGTGTCGATGGGGTGAAAGGCTACTGAGGGGAGGCGCATGAGTTCGCGGATTTCTTTGATGGTAAATGCGGCCTGCATCGGGCCGCGGCGACCGACAATGTGCACCCTCTTGACTTTGCTCTTGGAGAGCGTCTCAATGGCGTGTTCGGCAATGTCGGATTTGCGGAGCACGTCGACGTCCTCGAGCAGCATCCGAGCCACGTCGAGGGCTACGTTGCCCTGGCCGATGATGACGGCCTCTTCCCCCTGCGTGAGATCTGGGGCGAGGTCGGCGTGCTCTGGAAGGCCGTTGTACCAGCCGACGAACTGGCGGGCCGAGTAGACACCCTTTGAATTCTCGCGCGGAATACCGAGACTCCTGTCCTTGGCGGCGCCGTACGAGAAGACGACGGCGTGGTAATGGCGCAGAATGCTGGCCAGGGGGATGGTCCCGCCGTCTGGGTGGTCACTCTTGGTGCCGATGGAGACGTTGCCGATGAAAGTGAAATTAGGGGATGAGGCTACTTCTTCAAACTTTTCTTGGCAGTTCTGACGCACAATGTTAACGATGTTCGGTTTTTTTTTTCCCTCTTCCAATTTTTCCCGTTTTCCTTTCTTTTTTTGTCGACTTAAAGGATAGTTATACACACCTTCACTTCCGGGTGGTCTGGCGCGACCCCAAACCGGACCAGACCATAGGGGACGGGCAATGCCTCGTACATGTCAACCTTGGAATTTTGAATCCTGGACATGGCCCTGTACGCCGTGTAAAACCCGGCCGGGCCGGAGCCGATGACAGCCAGTCGGAATGGTCTGCCATCACGGGTGCTCTGCGCTGTTGATAGAGTCCGAGAAGGAAGTGCGCGGAAAAAGGACCTCAAGCCTATAGGTAGTGTGAGTTTCACCGATGGCAGCGACTTGGCGCACCGGATGGGAAGCATGATTCCGGTATAGTTGGACACCCTCGTTGCGTGAACAACAATTGGGAGACGCGAACATGTCAAAGGGATGTACTGTGTATGGGGTTGAGTCAAAATCTGGACCCGGAAGGGAGTGCTCTCGGCCGGCATTTAATGGGACTCGAACCCAGTCACAGTGGACTCGGCACGGGGCTCGGGGAAAGCTACCCCATCGCCGGCGACACTCTGAATGGTCCACAACGCCTTGGACATCTTAAAACCAATGTTGTCAGCAAAGCGAGCGGCGATGTGTGTTCCGCTCCAATTAACTTCGTAGCGTTGATTTTGTCCCAATTAGGAGATGTTGCCATCACTGCCATATCAAGCCCTTGCTGTCAGCGTCAATTGCTGTGCCACAGTCAGTGGTCACACCAACAGCGCTTACACGGTTGCCCCGTCAACCGTCGGGTGCCGTTCCAGGTTTCAAACAGACGGAAGTGTCCAGCTTCCAGCTTCCCACCCGTCCGGAAATGTACACCTATTGTCGAGCATTGCTCTCACATGCATTGCAGTCTATTGCCATTCTGACTGCATAATTGTCAACTTCTCTTCAATCCAACATCCTCCTGGCGTGATCAGGGCAGCATAGCCAAGATCGCCGCAATGGGGAGGACTCAGCAGCCGTACTTGTATGACGCAGTCCGGAAGGACGATGATCGATTTCCAACAGCTCCATTTGACCCGAAAGCAGTGACTCGGGCGAGTCACGAGAAAAAGAAGCCGCAACCCAAGCCCGACGGGCCGCTTGTCTCAGTCAACCGCCATCCCGAGTATGCCTCTCTTGTTGACATTCCACTCCATGACTGAGTTACATTCTATCGGCAATGCATCTCTTCTTAGAGCATGACTAACGTCAGCCATGGACAGTGCTCACATGGTGCCTAGCGGTCGATCCAGGTTCAGGCCGATGGGCCGCCGGACAAAGAGTTGGATCAAGGGCATGCGCGTTGTGCAGTTATGTCTCAGAGTCTTTGAGGCCGCCGCCGCCGCCGGCATCATTGTCGTCATGGGCCTGTCGGGGCTGATTGGATGGATCATGGGCGCCACGGTGAGTTGTTGGCTGATGATTGCATGTATCGTCCGAACCGTGTTGCTGACGACAAGTGATTCCAGTGCGGTGTCGTAGTCCTTCACTGTCTCTACAGCATCTTCCACCACGCCCAACCAGCCGTCTCTAAGACACCCGGCTCTTCATCCGCCTACCACATCTTTTCTGCTGTATCTGACCTCTGCGTGGTCCCTCTTTACGCCTATGGCGCCCTGACCACTAGGAGCAAGAGTGAGGAATGGAAGACGACGGACCTCGCCAACACCAACACCATGAAGTACATGGTGCCGTCTGTCTACTACGGCCTGATTGCCGCTGGCGGCCTGCATCTCCTTTCCCTGGCCATTTCGTTGTGGCTCGGTCTGATGTTCCGCCGTATCGCCCACATGCCCCCTGACATGAATCCCCTCGAATCCAATCTCACCGCGCGCGTGCACAAGCGCAACAAGTCCTCGGTTGCCACCTTTTCAACCTACTCGGACGAGAAGCCCAAAACCCAGCTTTACGACGACAACACCCGGCCACCATCGATTCCTTTCATGCACACGCGCCAAAACTCCGAGACGTCCTTCACCTCTCGCGACTCGCGCTTGAGTCTGCCCAGTCGGCAGTACCAAATCACCCCTAGCAACCGCAGCTCGGCCACCTCACAGGACTTGAAGCGCATGTCCGCGCCCCAGGCAGCGCACCGCGCCTCATACACGGAGATCCCGCTCGGCGAGACCGGCGCCAGCCCGGTCCGCCCAACATCCATGCACGCCTCGCGCCCAAGCACAGGTTCCGTGGCATCCTACCGCCCCGAGCCCGTCCCCGCCGCCCAGACAGCCCAGCCGCGCTCCGCCAAGTTCACCGAGACGTGGTACGCCTCCGAGTCGCTGATCAACCGCACCGAGCAACGCAACCGCGCCTCCACCCCCCACCGCGGCATCTACGCCTCCCTGTCGGCCTCGGACTCGGAGGACGACTCCGAGAATGACACCTACTACACCCCTTCGCGGGGCAACGCAAACAAGGACAACAACAATCACCCCAACCCGCTCCGCTCCCACCCAACAACAACAACGACAACCACCCCTCCTCTTCCCACACCTGGTAGCCCCAATAACACAAAATCCTCCTCGTCCTCCACCCCGCGCCGCCCCCGCACCCCCTTCTCCCGCCTCCGCAAATCCATGATCCTCTCCGACATCTCCCTCAACGACCGCCGCGTCTCCGGAAGCCAGGACATCGCCGACCAGGCCCAGGCCCAGCGGAACAGAACCAGCTCAATCCAGCCCGACGCCGATTTCCTTCTGAGCGCCGCCTATTCCAAGCCATATGGCCAGCTCCGGGCGGGGACGCCGCCCGTCATGGTTGGTGGTGGTGAGAGGGACCGGAATGAGAATGGGAGGGTGGTGTCGAGTGGGAACGATTTTGGGTTTGATCTTGGAACTGCTGCTGGTAGTGGTGGTGGGATGATGGGCAGGAGGATTGTGAGTGGGCGGGCGGCTGAGGAGGGGAGGGCCGGGGCGAGATGGAGGTGAGGAGATGGGTTTGAATGGGGGAGGGAGGGGCACAATGAGGGGGGTTCGGAGAATGGAGGAGAAATAGGTGACTGAAAAAGGGGGTGGGGAGTTTGGAATTCATGATGGATCTTGGGTTTATGTTGTGCGGAGTTGGAGTAAATAGGGATCCGGTTTCTGAGTAAGGCATGGAAGGCAGATAGATGAGGGAATGTAAGATCATGAGCTAGCGCAGATATCCGTCAGTCAGTTATTTGAAGGCGTGTTGACTTTAACTCACTCCAAGATTCACATTACAGGTAGCAATTGAAGCACAAGCTTCAAGCACCCAGGATATTTCTAATCATGCCCTACTCCTCCCTCCGCTCCCTCGCCCACCCAGCCCAATCCGTCGTCCCAGCCCCTACCTCCTCCATCCACCCCTTGCCATCCCACGCCCCCAGCCCACAGAGATGTCTCATCGTCGGCCTCCCATGCGGACAGTTCCACGGCTTCTCCATCTCCCCCATATGCCGCACCACCCTCTCCATTTGCCTCGCCGACAGCGCCCGGCCGATCATGATGCTGCTCCGGCACGCGCGCATGGCAAACATCTTGCGCACCTTGCTCGGCCGCGGCACCGTGCTGGGGGCCGAGGTCGGGTTGTCCGCCAGCAAAAAGACGAGCTCGTCCAGGTCGGCCAGCGAGAAGGTCGTCTCGCGGCTGAGCGGCAGGCTCAGCAGCTGCACGCGTGAGCCGACGGGCTTGGCGCCCGACGTGTCGACCTGCACGAGAAAGCCGTTGCGTTCGAGCACCGGCAGGTGCTCGAGGATGATCTCTTCTTCGAGGGCGGTTAGGTCGAGGGTTTTAGGCTGGACGAGGCGTTGGGACTGGACGGTGGTGGTCGCTTGGAGGCGCTCAAAGTTGTATTTCTCGTCAGACGCGTGCTGGTCGATGATGAAGAGCTCGTCGTCTTCTGCCGCGTCGGCGGTTGAGGGCGCGGCTTCGCGCACCGCGAGGATGAAGCCCAGGTTGAACTGCCCAACGATTCGCATCTTGGCGAAGTCGGATTTGCTGATCTTGAGGGAAAGTTTTTCTTCAGCGTCGTCTGCCTCGAGGTCCTCTTGACTGGCGGATTTAGGGGGTTTGGATTGGGATTGTGGCAGATGACGTGTTAGTGCTGCGATGCGCTGTTGGATATCGTCTCGGCTGGTCTTGACTTGCTGGACCAGGTTGAGAGTCATATCTTTGCGTTTCGGCCGCCCCTTGACAAACAACTGCGAACGCTTCTCGCTTTCTTCTGCTGGCTCGGCGGCAGCCTCGGCAGCGTCGAGTAACTCCTGCACCTTCCTGTCTTCTCGAGCTCTTTTCTCGTCCTCGTCGACGTACTCATCATCCACCGCCGGATGATCATCGTGGAAGGATAGCGAGTGCTCAATGGATTGCCGGGGGCTCTCAGCATCGTAGGCTGAATTCGAGTCAGGTTGCGCTGGCTCTGGAGGCTGGTCTCCAACTTCTTCGTTTGGTTCATCTTCCTCATGTCCGAGTCGCCCACTCCGACCTTGGGACATTGATAGAGAACCGTCCTCGTGTTCCTCCTCAACATCCTCCTCGGCATCCTCCGGCACGACCCCGATCTTGTCCAGGGAACCTTCAGCAGGCGGCCCCGAAGCAGAGAACAACTGAGAAAGGCGCCCGCCAAACGATGGTAACGGGGCCCGCTTCCCTCCACTCCCAGGCGGGGTCGCTCTGGCTGGTTTCGAGCCTTCGTCAACCCTGACTCGTTTAGCAGGATTCCCAATCAGGCTTGTCACTGTGTCATCGCCAATCGTGATGGTCGCCACCTCCTGAGTTGGACGCTTGAGCGGCCGAGCAGTACCCAGGGCGACGGCCCGTGATGCTGGTGGCTGAGATGGAGGGGCGATCGCCGGGACTCGCGATCCCGGCTCATCACTACGCGCTTCAACCTCGGCATCTTCGGAGCCTGTTGACGCCCTCTCCTCGGGTTTCTTGAAACCGGCATATGACCGCTCAGCTGAACGACCTTGGTTGTCCAACTCGTGTGCGGCATCCTCTCGCGGCGACGCCTGTTCTTGAACCCCAGTACCCTTCTGACTCTCCGTTTCCGCCTTCGAGCTTGATGGCGACGTTGCCTGTGCAGCACCCTCTGCTTGTTGCTGAGCCGCTACATTTGTGGCAGAATGATTGGGGCTGCCGGGGGTCTTTGCGAGCCAGCGAGATAATAGCGTCACACCCTTTACGGAATCGGTTGGCTTGGTGGGAGCTTGGGTCGTGCTCCGCGGCGAATTGTCCTCCATGGGCTCACTTCCATTCTCGTCGTCGCTTTGGGCATTGCTGGAGTTGTCTTCCGCGTCGGCCGGTCCCCCGTGCTTGGTTGGAGAGCCTGCTTCGGGCTGCCTTGCAGGATTCGCAGTAGCAGCCCGGCTGCTGGGCTGGGCTGAGGTGGGCGTGCCCATTCGACCACCTGCCGGCGGTTTGAAAGGAGTTCGTTTGAGAGTTGCAGCTTGGCAAATAGGCATTGTGACGTCTTGAGTCTCAAAGAGCTCAATCAGCGATTCTCTCAGGTTATCGAGCATCTGCCCTTGGTCATGCAGCAAAATGGTGCGCTTGTCTGGGCTGACGTTGACGTCGTAAAGATGGGTATCCAACCGAATATCTGCAAAGATAAACGGCGACTGGGAGGCGTTGTATGATCGATAGACCTCGTTGAAGACCTTGGCAAACTGTGGCAAGCCGCAGGGCCGGCCGTTGACGTAGAACATCTGCCTATCTGGCGTTTGCCGGCCCTCGCCATGAACAGGTCGAGACACATGCCCAACGACACGGACCTCGGTAGTGCTGCCGTCTGCCGGGGCCTTGCCTTTGTTGAGGGGCCCAGCAGTTGTCGGTACGAGTTCCAGCTTGAGGTGCATCGTGATCAAAGCGTTCATGGTTTTTACGCCAAACACGTTGATGATGTTCTCGCGGGTGGTTGCGTTGCCTTTTGTAGAAAACAAGATCATGCGCTTGCCCTTGGTTGGTTGCTGCGAGACGGTGAATTTGACGCCAGTCTGCACGCAGGCATACTGGTTGAGGAGGTTGATGACCTTGCCCCACTCTCGCTTGATGTTCCGTTCCAGCTCTCGACGGCGGACCGGCAGGTTGTGAAAGAGATTTTCGACAATGACAGCGGTGCCCCTTTGGCCCGAGACGACGCTGGTGCTCTTCAGCTTCCCAGAAGTCTCGAACTCGAGTCGAGTTGCGCGCGGTGCTTCCTGCTGAGTACACGTCACGATCGAGAAGCGGGATAGGGCGCAGAGCGAGGAGAGGGCCTCGCCTCTGAAGCCGAAGGTCTGCAGCTCAGACAGGTCATCATAGCTGGAAAGCTTGGATGTGTAGTGCTTCAGGGCGATGGATTCGTGATTGTGGGGTGCAATGCCAGAGCCGTTGTCTTGCACCTCGATGCAGTCCAGGCCCTGGTTCTTGAAGCGCACCTCTTCGCGCGCATTGAGGTTAGTGTTCTCGATCGATATGGAGGATGCGCGAGTTTGGTCCCTACCAATGGCTGTTGCTCCGGCATCGACGCTGTTTTCAACCAGCTCTTTTGCCACAGAGCAGAGGTCGACAATGACTTGACCGGACTGGATTTGATGAACCTTGAAACAATGTCAGTAAGACGGATTCGTGGTACCGGCTTACACCTTCATGACAAACGCACCGTGCTGGATTCGATGGCCTTGATTGTGGCACTCGAAGCCATTATTCGGCATTCCCGGCATCGCCGTTTGAGTCTAAGGCATCCACGGCGTATCTTTCTCCGTCGCGGTCATGTCATTGGAGTTTGATCTGGAGTTCCCGTTCGCCGTCTGGAGTCGCAGCGGAAGAGGTGTGGATCTACCTAGTCGCATGGGCAAGTGGACGACATCCATTAATTCATAGGGCACGCGACGCGCTTCGAGTCTAGGCAGTCAATGTACCCTAACCCTAACAACCACACACTTGTCACAAGTAGCCCCGCCTTGGCATTGCACAACTGCTACATGAGCATAACGTCAAAGGTTTCATTGCAGCTATCCTCGCCCAGCCATACACATCGCAGAAAAGGGGAGAGAGTAGAGGGCTTGTACGAGTTGATGACCGAACGTCAACGAATCGGATGTAGTTAGCGTGCCAAGGCCCTCTAAGCTTCGTGCCTCCGGGCGAAATAAATTCCATACATCCATTCATCCATACACATCGCATACGGAAGTACCGATACTCATCACAAGGTCGACTCCCATACCACATAACGGCGAAGAAAAACGCGAAGGGAAAGAAGAAGCTTAAGGAGGGTGACGGCAAGAACCCGGAACAGAGCGCCAAAGTCGATACACCGAGTGAAAAGCTTTCTCTTCCGGAGATTACCGTAGGAAATACGAAACCATAGTTGGAACCAGCTCTTTTGTTCCACAAGATTCACTTTCTGACAAAGGCTGACCAGCCGTACCGGTACTAAGGTAAGATCTAGCCCACGCCGAACGGCCTCGCTCTGCTCCGCACGTGTCGTCGAGCGCAGCTCGAGATTGGCGACATATGGCTACGCCACGTCTTATTTGCTTCGAGAACATCGAAGTATTGTTTGGCAAGCTTTCAGCTCTGCCAGTCGATACCATCTCGAAGTTACGCCACATGAGAGTTAGGGGCGATTTTCTCGTGCTTCGCTGCGCCCATAGCGACATTGACGAGCCTACTCACTTGGCCCTTTAATATCACCCTGTCTCTACTTTCAAGCTCCTCCCAGGCCTACAGCTCGACGGGCTTAACAATCCTCAGTGGCGCTGATATTCATTTCAACTACGAGACACTTGACGGTCTCATTAAGGACAGCAACGGATGGACAGCAACGGAGGAAAAACACTGCGCTATATTGGCTACAACTCAGCAATGCTCGATTGCTGGTCAGAACCTCACAACCCTCACCGACCCCGGGGCAACAACCAGGCGAAGCGTGAACCAAAGCACTGGCAAGAGGTCATGGAAGGTCGTGACGGGACGGCCACTCAAAAGACGGATATGACGATACGGATCGGCTAGGGGCCGGAAAACCCCCGGTTCACAATCGTTCTGTGAGGCCATGTCGTCCGATAGTCATTCACCTTCGACCGTGATGCGAGCGTTTAGCAGGCCGTATGACTTCCTGTTAGGCTTGTGTAGACGCGAAGGTGGTCTCAGTGATGTTGGATGACGGTGTGAGAAAAGGAGCAAAACCGTGGATTTTTCTGTGGTTCAGAGGCCAGCCGCCAATCCTGCTAGGCTTCCCGTGGTAGAGATCGTGACAGTGGGCCCTGAAGAACCAAGGGTTGGCTCACGGCACCCCATGCGTTGCAAGCTAGGCGCTTAGCCATGAATGATGAGAGTGAACAGTCGATATGCCGTTTCTACCTCGCGGAAAAGGTGGGAAAATCTTCAGGAGAGCGGCGCAGCTGCATGGTGCCGGGCTGGTTGTCGGACCAACCAGACCGTGCCCGTTCCGTCTTCAACGGTAGTACAGTAAGGTAACTGGTCGAAGTGCCAAAAAAATGCTGATCCGACCAGTCCCCAAGCGACGAGTATCTTAGGACACAACCTCCGGCGTATAAATTCGCCCGAGCTCACAGCCTCGCCGGGCCCAGTCTTACTGCGATACCAATGCGATCTTAGTTCCCGCCTGTCCAGAGCGGCGGTCCCGGGATGGTGTAATTCTGCGATTCTCAGTACCTAGGTGAAGTCCAGTCACTTCAAAATGCCGGTCAAACTTACATAGGTGGAATGGCCCCTCGCCGAGTACAAATCTCCACTGATGGCCAAGCCCGGCTCTGCAGAGGTGGTAAGCTACTGAGCTGACACATCCTTTCTCAATTTGAAAGTGAAGTAATGGAAGGTACTTACCATCCATAGAGTAAGCACCGGGAAACGACACCAGGTACTCCTCGCCGGCAACCATGTCCCCGTCGCCGGTCACGGTGAGTTGAGCACACTCGGGGTAGAACTGAGGCGGCATCAGCTCGATCATGATGATCTCGTGCCGGATGAGGTAGTTCCCAGGCCGGAGGTTCTTTGGAATCGTGATGTTCCACCCCTTGTTCGCAACGCGAATCTGATCCCACCCAGTCGAATCGCCGACGTCGATCCTGTCCCCCCACTGGTCGTACTCGCCGCCGTTCTTGAGCCCCGACTCGTAGATCTTGAACCAGACCTTCTTCCCCTCGGGCTCGAACTGGTCGCACGGCCCGTTGCAGTTGGCCATGTAGACGAGCATGGGTCCCGTGGCGTGCACCCACGAGTACTCGGGTCCCATGCATCGCATGGGTCGTTCCGGGTCCTGGAACTCGTCTGGGTAGAGGTTCTCGGTCGGTTGATAGAAACCGGCGGGGCAAACAGGAGGAATGTAGTAAGCCGTGATGTTGGTGCCGGCCTGGATGGGTGCGTGCTGCGTTGGGTGGCTCTTGGCCAGAGGGTTTCCGCGGTTGCAGGCAAGGTAAGGGTGGTTCACGGACTGGATCGGGTCTGGCCACCAGCGGCGCTGGATGCCCTTCGGCTGCTGGTCCTCGAGGAGCCATGGGTACGAGCTGCAAACCAATGTTATCGACTCAGACCTAGCAACACACGGGAGTCTTGGGATGCTAACCCAGCGTATGAGACACCGCCAATACTGTAGTTGTAAATGCCCCCGTGCCCCAGCGCATCCACGAACAAAACAGCAACAGGGATGAAGGAGGGAAGACGCATGTTGGTTCGTGATGTTGGCAGGACTGTTCGTGGAGACAATCCTACGTGGAGCTGTCGGTTTGGGAGAGAACTGACAGTGATATTTAGAACGCTGATCAATAACCTCCAGTTATTGCGTGATGTTTTGACGTTTCCCGTGTCGACCTTATAGAGATTCTCTCAATTCGGGATTCGGACTAATCTCTTGGGAGACTTGTAGTGGCCAGCCGCCAGGCATCTCTTTATAAGGTGAGAAGGATTCCATGCCAATATCGACATATTCGGGGGTTGAAACCTCACGGTACTACCATCGTCTCGGCTTCCTAATTTATGCTGCGGCCAGAGGCCGCCTTTCCAGTGAGTCGTAGGATCGGCATGTATCCGGGCCGGGTTGCAGATTGACGTGCATATTCAAGCACATCAACCATCGGCCTGCGACCTTCCGGTTCTAAACAGGCTCCGGCTCCATTCAGGCTTCTTGCCCCTAACAACTGAACTAGAACAGCGTCAGCACCCATTCATCATGTATTTTCCAAGGAGCGACTCACGTTATAAGTGTCCGAATGGAATGTTGAGGTCTTTCATCAACTCGCTCCGCACCTTGACCAGCAGCACCTGCACCTCCACACTCTTCCACCCGCCAGTGTGAACAAGGCAAGCGACATGCCACGAGCGCGCCTCGAGGCACTGCACCCTGGACTACCACCCAACCTCCTTAGCGTGGGATTCTTAAGCCACCGGCCGAAAGGCACAACCGTTGCTCAAACTTGGCGTTTTCGAGCCCGGCTTCGGTCGGCATCGGCGGCAGATTTAGGAGAGGTGTGTCGAGCCGGAGCGGCTCCGAGAGCTGTTGGTAGGAGAAACCCGTCATCGTGGTAGAAGCTGGCGTGTCTCTCAACAACCTCGATGCGGCCGCCCGGCTTCATGTGCCCGTGGCAGTTGCGCAGCAGGGCCGCACAGTCCTGGATCAGCGCTCGCCAGGGTGCGGGCTCTTTTGAGTTTCAGCGTGAAGACATGAAGCGTCGTGTCCAGCCGCTCATGCCCGTCTTATCACTGGGAGATTCCGCTTATAAGCATGGTATGGGCGCCGTTTTTGTACTGAGCGATGATGTGACGTTCGTGGTCGCTGAGACTTCGCTAGAACAGCCGCCGTTGGATGAAGATTGGTCGTCCTGGGTATCATGATCGGTCTGTGTTCGCGTCGCTCACACGTCAAGGTGCCCAGAGCCCGCTGGGGAGTCCTACTCGACCTCAACGGGTGAACCTACCGCTAGTTTGTTTTCGGCCGCACACATGGTGCTAACTTGAATTTCACTGCGCCGTGATTCGAGAAGCGGGAGATCTCAGACAAATCATAGGCGAGAAACCAGTTATTATCTTTCCAACATGTCGACCTGTCGGCGATGTGTTCAGTGGTGAAAGTAGAGCTGAGATGTAGTGTTGCAAGTTGGACGCCGTCCAAACGTAGGGAGTACAAAGTCTGACACTGCAAGTTCATGCTCAAATTCCTGAAGCCGTCCCCAAACTTCGCCGTTGCAATTAGGTTGGCTTACCGTATCTGATCTAGCTAGGCTTGACGACCTACCGGAAAACATGACGTCCACTGCAAACTGCTCGCTTGGAAATGCCAACGAAGATACGGACATTGTCAAGAGACTTGTATGGATGGAATTTATTTCGCCCGGAGGCACGAAGCCTAAAGGGCGTTCAACCATCAACTCGTACAAGCCCTCTACTCTCTCCCCTTTTCTCACGCCACCTGTTGCCTCTTGACTTAGTTTAGCAGATCGACTTGGAGGCTGCATTCTCCAAGTGTTCAGCGTCCTATCTTCAGCAGCTAAAGCGGGATCTGCTGGCTGAGGCTGTGTATACGGATAGGTTGAATGTATACCACAATACAGTTCCGTAGCTCCCGTCCTTGTGCGGGTTCCGGAAAACTTCACATTCTTCCTGTTGGATTTGGCAGGTGGTCAGGGAGGGCAGTTCAGCGGTGACTAATGGCTTGGCACCAGAATTCTCAGTATCAGGAACAGGCAGGTACCTTTTGGAAGAACGCAGACAGGAACATCATCGTCAATTGAGTGGTTGCCCATCTTTTTGGAACCCAGTTACTCCGGTGCGGTCAATCCGTGGCTGTTGGCTTTCCAACACCTCCGCTATCGCTGCGGTCCGCGCACTCGCAAAATCGCTACACCACCGGGATTTCAAACGTTAGCGCGATACAAGTCCACCCACTAATCGAAATAAGCAGCAAGTATGGATAACTACGTTAAGTTTCAGATAACAATAATACTAAATTTAGTACTTTAATTTTTACCTTCAGCTGCAACCACTTTCTGTACACTATTTAGCATTGAGTGTATTAGCTGTAGTAAAAGGTTCTCTAGAAGAACATCTTAAACCTCCTGTGACGGGCACCACCCAAGGTCTGGTCAGCTCGCACATACAAGATCGATATTGCTACAACGAGATCAAGAGCAGACCTTAAGTACTGGAGCAGAGGCCTATGCGTAAGCATGACCATAGACGTATGATCAGACCCCATGACATATGCATGACCGCAAGCATATGACATAACCATGAGAACAGGAACGGGGAATCCCGTGACACCTCCTGAATAGCCAAGCGGAAAGCCGTAAGACTAAGTCGTTGAAGGTCTAGATAGTGGTCCCCGACGTAGTTCTTCAGCTATTGCTAGAGGTTCTCTATTGAGTTAAGGTTCGAGCTTTATATAAGCTAGTCTAATAGCTTAAGTCTAAGTGCTATAATGAAATGCCATATTGATTAAAGCAATATAGGCAGCACTATCATCTTATTAAAGTGTGAATTTGCAGCTATAAGACTCCTAGAACTGCTATATAAGTGGAAGTATTATTATTATTATTATTATTTCCATACCGCTATGCCCTAGGGCTTACTAGACTCTCTACTACTGATTATAAAGTAAAATCATGCCTATAAGGCTGGACTAAAAACCTCTATCTGCCCTATACCTGTCTAAAGTCCTGAATCGACTCACTATAGCGAGAAGAAAGGGGTAGATAGCTAACTAGGATATCGAACTAGCCAGTTCTAGCTATATAGCTAGTGTGACGGGCACCACCCAAGGTCTGGTCAGCTCGCACATACAAGATCGATATTGCTACAACGAGAGCAAGAGCTAAATGACAGGAATGGGCGTGCAACCAGACCTTAAGTACTGGAGCAGAGGCCTATGCGTTAGCATGACCCTAGACGTATGATCAGACCCCATGACGTATGCATAACCGCAAGCATATGACATAACCATGACAACAGGAACGGGGAATCCCGTGACAGCTAGCCTATATTCAGGGGCTGCCTAAAGCATAGTAACTACCTAATGTAACGGTCCCAGGAGAATACTGCAACTAGCTGGTGAGGACTCTACGAGTTTGTCTCGAATGGAGAGAGAAGAAGAAAAAGAGTGAAAGACTATGCAAGATATCTGCCGTCTTATACCTCCACATCCTTGGCCTGTGCGCCGATCTCGAACAAGATAGAAGTCCACCGAATCTCGAGTCTTGGCCGAGAGTTTGCCGAGGCCTTGACGGGCTCAGCCCGTTACACCTAATCACCCCTCTTGCAAGCCTTCTCTCTTTATTTCTCCACCGGTTGGGAGCTCTATATAGATCCCTCTGCGAATGTATCTCTGTAGCCGGCCAGGTCGTTAGCTTTGATGGCTGGCAGCACCCCACAGCTAAGTATTCTTCTGTTTCCCTGCCCTAGCCGCATTCGCAGTAGGAAGTAGGTATTTGAGAGACCCTAGCCCAAAATAAGAAGTCCTTAAGGCCTATGGTCCCATGTCAGAGGCTGTACAGTAACCTCCTGTACCAACAAGACTAAAAGATCTGCCAATGCAATGATCGTTGCATTTGCTATGCAACTATTTGCTTAGGTACTCTCTCCCTCTCCGGGCCTCAGAGAGTCTCTGCCATAGTCCCTGATATCCCAGTATGAGCCAGGTGTCACGGGTCGTGACAGTGTGAGGTTCATGTGCGCAACTCCTGGTTCGACTTGACAGTTCGAACCACGGTCCCTCTTTTGAGAGTGTTACGCAGTGGTGTCACGAACCAACCATATGTACAGGCCCAGTGGGGCACAAGGCAGAACTGCAGGAACCGCACGAGGCCCACACGGTAGCCGTGGGGGCCGGGCGATCAAGGGTAGACTTGGGTAGCTGGCTACCCAAGGCGATCAAGGATAGCTCTTGGTAGGCTGTCAGGGCCCCCACCATGAGCCCTACACTTGGGCAATTGGCGGGCGAGACACTGTGGATTTCATGGCGCAGCGACATGACTCGCAGCAGAGAGAGGATATCTGGAGAGCAGGAGACTCAGATTGGAACTTGGAACTTCCCTCTCTCAAGGATCAGTCAGTTGGTTAGTGGTGCACGCACAATACAGTCGTCTTGCCTGCTGCTTGTTGAGGATTCGGTGCATCTTCCTTGGTGAGCTTGTGTGTGTCACCTTACATAGGCTGCGATCATGGGCGATCATGAAGGCTCTACCAAGTATATAGTCACTCGTTCTGGAGGACTCTGGGAGTTCTCCAGTAAGCAACTTAAGTGCAAGATTGTCAGTACCTTTGGACATTGCTTGTTGTGAACCCTTTGGCTTCACCGAACCTCACCCCGTTGTCAAAGCTATAACCTTCAGGAGTCCCTTTCAGAAGTAGGGGCTTTGAGATTCGTCACAAGTGGTCAGTTGCGCCGACCCGTGACACCAGGATTAGTAGGGAGCTGTGCTGGGAACTACCCAAGGTCTAGTCAGCTCGTACATTGCTATAAAGAGAGCAAGAGCTAGAATAACAGAATGAGCGTGCAACAAGACCTTAAGTACTGGAGCAGAGGCCTATGTGTAGGCGTGACCACAGACGTATGCATTAGACTCATTGTCAAGGCCCCTCGCTGCCGCGAGTTCTGCCGTAGCTCCTTGAGCTACGTCTTGACAATCAAGCCTGCCCGTACCTGACGGAATAAAGCCCAGACTGTAGCTTAGCCCAAATACAATTGTCATTGGATTGTCCCCCTATCCCGCTGTGACAGCAGTCTGCTATAGTCTTTATTATGATGAATTGCTTGACGAGAAGGATACGCTATAGCCATAGGTCCAATTCTTAGACGAGACATTAGACTACGACCAGAACAGCTAGAAAGGAGCCTAGATGATAGCTTCTAACGTCAATTCGGCTTTTACGAGAAATCTCGAGGTACCTGAAATTCTGCTCCTAGATTAGCAGAACAACAATAATAACGGCGGTCATTAGGTGCCTAGAACTATAGTGGTATCCTTCAAGATTCAAGAGAGCCAAAATAGTAGGTCTAATGAAGCTAGGAAGATTCCTGGCTACGTATAGAACTGCCAAAAGCTATAGGCTCATAGACCTCCTACCAACCTTAGGGATGGTTCTGGAGGCTATAATGGCTAGGAGGGTAGCAGAGGCTGCGGAGAGTGGAACGACCTACTGCCTGACGAGCAGATTGTCACAAGTAGTGACAGTCTGGGATTCATGTGCGCAACTCCTGGTTTGACTAGACAGTTTGAACCACGGTCTCTCTTTTGACGGTGTTACGCAGTAGTCAGTTGCGCCCACCCGTGACACAGATGGATAACAGGGCTAGCCGATCTACTGAACTAGCTATATAACCAGCGGTTACCTAGATTCAAGAGGCTTGGAGACAGGGAGCAACAACCTCCCTTGTCACGGGATTCCCCGCTCCTAGTCACGTGTTCGGCTCTGCAACCGGTTCGTTCACGATGTAAGCGAGACGAGTCGGTATTCGGACTTGGTAGCCACTTCTCAGACACCAAGCCTTTCTCCGACGAATCATTTCGGCCCGTTTCCTCTGGTTAGCTTGTTTCGACTCCGGCTCATGCCTCCGTGGCCAATAGTAAGCTGCAGCGCATGCAGCCAACGAACCTTGTTTCGGTGGATTCCTTCGAAAGCCCACATCGCGTGCTCCAAGACCTGAGTCGGGTTCACATTCCGATGTTATCGCCCTTGTTTTCCTCTCGGCTTGCGCTCGAAAAGGTCGAGGAATGCTCAGCCTCGTGTCGGAGCAGTCGGTGAACACCCAACGTTGGGAGCTTTGAGCCACCAACCCCACAATCGCTGAAACAGCCCATGAACAAGCGTTTCACCGCCGCATCGCTCGCTATTCCCTCGCCTGTTGGCCCACCGCGACACCAAATTCACGAGCGCCTTGTGCCACTTCCAGGCAGGAAACCTCCCCCACCACCGCTGCTGCTGGGATGAGGAGGCAGTCGGCTGGATCGTCAGACGACGACGATGCTTCTCCTGTCGAGACCCCTCATGTCAATGTCTCCCGCCTCGGCGCGAACGGGTCGAGATCATCCGCTCAACCTGTGAACAAGCTCGACCGTCGTCGCAGTGCCGACCGCCGCAGATCTTCGCTCTCAACAAACCGACGTCCCAGCAGCATCAATTGGCGGCCACTAGAATCCCGTAATGGCAATGGGGCAGCAGAGAAGCCACTACCTCTCGATCCTACACCGCCGCCCTCTCCGCTGGCCTTGATCTTGACCTCTAACGGGAGTTTGGACTCGAAAGGAATGGAAACGATGCCAGAGCGGCCGAACGGGCGGCGCCCGCCATCGAGAAACCCATGGGCAATCAGCCTTCTCACGCTCCTCGCATCCATTGTCGGCATCGGGTTCCTGTTCACTGTCGTCCATTCTTCGGCGACACGGCAACTTGATCCGAAGGGCTGCCGCATGTCTTACATGCGGCCGTCGTATGCCAAGCTCAACGAGTTCGATACCGAGCACACGCGCCTCGCGAGCAAATACTCCCTGTATCTGTACCGCGAGCAAGGGACTGACCATGATACAAAGGTTTGAACCACGTCGAAGTTAAAAGTGCCAGTGTTCCTGCTTGGCTGACTGTTTCCTACCAGGTCCGGGGAGTTCCCGTCTTGTTTATCCCCGGCAATGCTGGGAGCTACAAACAGGTTCGCCCCATTGCCGCGGAAGCCGCGAATTATTTCCACGATGTCCTACAGCACGACGAAGCTGCCATCAAGGCCGGTGTCCGGAATCTCGACTTCTTCACGGTCGATTTCAACGAGGATATCACGGCGTTCCACGGCCAAACGCTCCTCGACCAGGCCGAGTACCTCAACGAAGCGATACGATACATCTTGTCGCTCTACCTCGACCCGCGAATCTCCGACCGGGATCCTGATCTGCCAGACCCAACCTCAGTTATCGTCTTGGGACACTCCATGGGAGGCATCGTCGCCCGAACGATGCTGGTTATGCCAAACTATCAAACGAACTCGATCAATACCATCATCACCATGTCGGCTCCGCACGCCCGGCCTCCAGTGTCTTTTGACGGGCAGATTGTCCAGACGTACAAAGAAATTAACGACTACTGGAGACGAGCTTACTCTCAACAGTGGGCCAACGACAACCCCTTATGGCATGTTACCCTGGTTTCGATTGCCGGTGGTGGCCTGGATACTGTTGTTCCGTCCGACTATGCCAGCGTTGAGTCGTTTGTACCCGACACCCATGGATTCACCGTATTTACGTCGACGATTCCGAGTGTGTGGACGAGCATGGACCACCAGGCAATCCTCTGGTGTGACCAGTTCCGGAAGGTCATTGCGCATGCGATTTACGATGTGGTGGACGTTCACCGGGCTGCGCAGACAAAGCCCCGGGCTGAAAGGATGAGGGTGTTCAAGAAATGGTTCCTAACAGGCATGGAGGCTGTCGCAGAGAAGACGGCGCCACGCTCCGACCCGACCACTCTGCTCACCATCGACGACAACTCGGACTCGATCATCGCCGAGGGGGAGCGCTTGGTTCTTCGCACTTTAGGCGCAGCAGGCAGGGTCCGCGCCCATCTTATGCCTATTCCGCCTTCAGAGTCACCTGGCATGAAGCGGTTTACTCTGTTGACGGATACGAAGCTTGACAGGCCAGGGGAGAACGGAAAGCTGGAGGTCATGTTCTGCAGCGTGATTCCATCCCAACCAAGCCAATCTTGGGCAGGGTTTCCCAGCCAGATGGACCTTTCCAAGGGGAACACCGGGTCCACGCGTTTAGCTTGCAGGACTGTGGCGTCGGATGTCGTTTCACTCCCCGCATCGACTCCCTCGACGCGCTTCCCTTTCTATACTGACGGGGAAAGAGAAATCACGCCGTTTTCCTATTTAGAGTACGGCGTGGACGATATTGCTGAGCACCAGTTTGTGGCAGTGGTGGAAAAAACGACGACTCCCGTGCAAGGCTTTGTGGTTGCCGAATTCAGCGACTATTCTCAGTCGCACCGGACGCGGCACATCAGCCTCCGGCGTCTCTTACCATTTGGTATGGAATTCCGCCTCCCCGCTGAGCGACCGATGGTCTCCGAAATCAAGATTCCCTCTTTGCAGTCGAGCTTGCTGGCCTACGATCTTCGAATCAGCAACCAGGCCTGCGATGGCAAGCAGGAGCTCTTCTCCCCTTTGGTCCGGCAATACTTGGTTGAGCCCTACGAGTCGAAGTACTTCGTCAACGCGCGAGAGGCCACGATCAGCCTTCACGGCGTTGCCCCATACGTCCCCCCGCCACTAACACGGAAGTCGGACGAAGACGGACTGCGCTTCCAATTCTGGGCAGACCCAACCTGCAACTTCAGCATCGATGTTGAGCTTACAGTCGACGTTATGGGCAGCCTCGGTAAGCTCTACATGCGCTATCGCACCGTCTTTGCTGCGTTCCCCCTGTTCGTGGTGGCCTTGGTCTTGAGGAACCAGTTCCGCGTTTACGACGCCACAGGGATGTTCATTCCCTTTTCAGAAGGCTTGGATCTCAGCCTACGGCGGTCTATTCCTTTGATGCTGGCTTCACTCACGATCTTGACTCTCTACACGGCGAATCCGACGGCCGGCAACACGACGCTTTGGCACTGGAGAAACAGCACGGCTTCATTCATGGACTTCCATCAAAATGACCTCCTCATTGGGACACAGGACCCCCTGTTTCTCTTTCTGGTCCCTCTAATTGGAATTGTCTGCGTCGGAGTTTGCACAGTGCTCAACTACATCGCGCTCGTCCTGACGCATCTTTTGGGCGCCCTCGCGACCCTGCTCACGTTCCGCCCTGCATGGACTCGGAATGAGGACAGGAGGAGAGCGGCCGCCGCCGCCTTTTTCTCCCCGTCGCCGCGGCGACGAATGATCACGACCGCCATTTTGCTGTTGCTCGTCTCGACGGTGGTTCCCTATCAGTTCGCCTACCTCGTAGCATGCTTGGTGCAGCTGGGGACGACAGTTCGGGCCCAGAAGATCGCGTCGGAGCTGCGCTCGACCATGAATTTGAATCTCTACAACTACGCCCACTCGATCCTCGTCCTCATGCTCTGGATCCTTCCCATCAACCTGCCGACATTCGTGGTCTGGGTCCGCAACCTGGCGGTTCACTGGCTTACGCCGTTCACCTCGCACCACAACGTCCTGTCTGTCATGCCGTTCATCGTGCTCGTCGAGACGCTCTCGACTGGAAAGATGATACCTCGGGTGGGCAGCCGGCTGCGGCATGTCACCAACCTCTTGCTCTTCTGCATCGCTGTGTATGCGGCCGTGTATGGCGTCTCGTACGCGTACACGCTGCATTACCTAGCCAATCTCTTCGCCTTTTGGCTGGCAGTCATGCATTCGACGTCAGACTCGTGGTCTCTGGAGGGTTTGTCCCACCTCTATGCAGGAGATTCTGAAGATCGCAAGAGAGGAAAAGAACCCTGAGCTTTGTTTCTTTGGGCCTGGGTTACCGTGCACACAGCTGGTGGACGTTGTCAGCAACTGTGCCCTGGCCAACCTTCTTCCGTCGCCTCAAGACAGCTCATATCTGTACCCGTCTCACCATGGCCTGACTCGACGACGCCGTTGTATATATACCGGGCCTGTCTCTTTCCCGAACGGCATCGTCCGCTCGGCACCCTCGACCTGCGCCGAAGGTGTCACGGGAACCTACTCAGGTCCGGGCCGTCTACACCTCTTTATTTTCTCTTCTCTCCGAGCGGAGCGTGGTTCCTCCGTCTCATATACCTTGTCAGCACAGGTGGCGTCCAGGCGGCTTTGTCATTTCGCCTCGTTTTTCTGTTCAACCACGTCCCAACGGCTCCACACAATCCTGCATTTGCCTTGGGGGGGGTTTTTAGCGTGGCGTGTTTTCTTGAGCTATGCCTCAAGAGGGCCTATCTTTATACTTTTCACTTTATACCCTTCTTCCACCCTCTTGCGCCAGGCTAGGTTTGCAAATCTGGTTTTCAGGGAGCGTGGAGCCGCTTTTTCCAGCGCTTGGATAGACGGGCACATTCCATCTGGGCCGGTTTGCGAACTCGAGTAATGGTGGGCTTGTTTTGGGGTTCTGTATTTCGGGCCTTGGGGGCGGGTGGCTGATGGAAATGGATGGCTGCCAGTAATGTATATGTTATTTGCTCACGTCGTTCGTTTGGGCTTGACGGATGGGTGCGTTTTGGGCTGGAATGGGTTGACCCAATCGACCGGCTGTGACTGCCAATGAGCTGGATGGATGAATAGATGCCTCACGTAATGACGGGTCTGGGACAGTGAGAGATACAGCTCGGCGAGGGGGTATAACTGCTCAACCATGCGCATGGGATGGCGCGAGATGGTGTGATTAATGTTGGGTTCACCCAGCGAGGCGCTGGCAGGGGCTTGTACACTGCTTCATAAACTGTAGATAGACGGTGTGGTGCGGTGTGTAGTATGACGGGGCGTCCCTGGGGAGGGATTGAACAAAGCGTACACTGTTGAAAACCATGAGATCCCTGAACCCGAAACTCCGTGAACAAATGATTGAAACCCGAACGATACTCCAACACGCAGTCCCATGCGATGTAAGCCCCAACCCAGGTGTGCGCTGAGCATGATCCAAATATATGCAGCCGAATACTGAAAGGCCCGACCGGTGCAGACAAGAATAAGGAACTTATATACCCACTTCCAGTCCCGTATCTCTGTTCTTACAGCAGTACCCAACAAATTCGATGTCAAAAAACCACACGCTGCTCGGATCAAGCAGAAGCTCCCCCATCTGCCGGTTCATTCAACGCCTTGAGCACCCGCGCATAAAACCTGCCCGCCTGCGCCTGCGGGAACGATATTTCGTCGACAAGAAAGTCCGGCAGCACGGCGATCAGCGCCCTGTCCCGGTTCGCCTCGAGCTGGGGGGTGTAGTGGCAATGGGCCTCGCCGCCGCCCTCGTCGGGGCTGACGTCTACTGATAGTTTAAAATGCAGGGCTGATGTGGGAAGAAAACGGTCAGTGAGTCAGTTACAACGCTGGGGTGGAAACAAGAAGGGGGCGAAGAAGGGGGCCCCGCGCCGGGGAGGGAGGGGGCGGTGTTTGGTGGGGTGGGTGATTGAAGGGAAACCTACTCCCGTTCCGGCCCGTCTGGATGCAGTCAAACACGTCCTCGCCGCCCTCTCTCTTGACGCTGCGCACGATGAGGCCGGTCAGGTCGCCGTAGAGGTCCTCCTTCTTTTGCGCCGCGAGCGTCGCTTCCGAGGCGGTCGCTGCTGCGAGTCGGTGGGCCGCGGCCGCCCCCGAGCCGCCGTTTATGGCGCTGCCTGGCACCTTGGCGGTGGCGGCGGCAGCAGCTGCTGCTTCGGCGCTGCGCGCGGCCGACAGTTTGAGGTTGAGGGATTTGATTTCGGATTTGTACTCGTTGAGGGAGGTGGTGAGGCTCGTGAGCTTGGTTTGGAGGTTGTCAGCTTTGGATTCGCTGGCTTCGAGCTCCTTTCTGAGGCGCTGGATCTCTTTGGAAAATTCTTTTTGCGCGGCTAGCTCGGATTTGAGGGTCGCGATGAGTTCTTCGGCGGCTGGAGTTGGGTTAGTCGAGGGTTTGTTCTGAGGACTGGAAGGGAGACATAGGCCTTACCCTTGGACTTGTCTTCCGTCTGCTTCTTGAGCTTGTCAAAGTTCCGCTCGGCTTCTTTGACGGCGATCTCCTTCAGATCGCGGTATTTGTGCTCCAGGCTTTCGTATTTCTGGGTCATCTCACCAAGCCGGCGACGCAGCGTTGGATCGCCTTTATCTGGCGAGCTTGTGTGCAAAGGCCTCTTCGACGCGCTGACAGAACCGCCGCCGCAACCAACTTTGGCGCGTCCTGGGGACTGCGAGACTGGGAGGTCTTCTAGGTCGTCGTGGCTATCGTCGACATCGCTTTGTGCCGCATCCGGCTGCTGTGTCTCTGGGATTTCAACCATCTCTTCCACGGTCGTGTCGGGCTCGGGTCTTTTTTCCACAGCCTTCCTCCCTCGCCGTGCTCCAGATGGCTGAGTCTCTGCTTCGACGACCACTTTTTTCGGTCGGCCGCGATGGCCTTTTTGCTTGGCGGCTGGGGGTGTTTCGATGGCAGCTTTCGGGGCTTCTGTCATGACTGTGTCCTCCACCTCCTCAACAGCGGCTGCGACAGGTTTGCGCCCGCCTCCACGCCCAGAATCCTTCGCGGAAGCGCCTGTTGTTTTGCTGGCCGACTGCTTTCTCGTGGTCACCTCGTCCACGGCCGCAGCGATTCGGTCGCTGGAACGGGCCTTCGAGGTGGACGTCTTTGGCGCGGGCTTGGTGACGCGATTGGCAGCCTGGCGGCCAACCCTGGCTTTCTTCGGGGGCATCGTGCTGTTTGCTCGTGTCGGCTTCGAATGTTGCGCGACAGTCACGCCGAGCGAGGTTCCTCCAATTCCGTCTTCCGAATCAGAATCCACCAACTGCAGCAAGTGAGAACGGACCTTGGCCTTTGACATCGGTTTGCGGCAGAATCTAGGCACTGTTTCGAGGTTGAGGCACGCGATCGCGAGCCTGACGCGACTGCGACGGATAGCGTCCTGGGTCTGTGATATGCGAGGGTCTTGTGGAGCTTAAGCTGCGAGGGGCGACTGAAGCGCGGTTGCCCGAGCGCTCAAGGAGCCCCAAAGTCAACAATGAAATGTGTACCGTACGGTATTATATTACGCGACAATACCTATACGTGTAAGATGATTCGATTCGACTTTCCTCAACAAAGCCCGATTTTGTCGTGCAAAAGCAACCGCACTCATATCCTGACACGACTGTGACGGGGCCCTAGGGATGGTGCTCATCCGAATCATCATCAACCTCATCTTCGTCCTCATCGTCGGATACCTTCACTGGTTTTGGCTTCTGGGCCTCCCACTCTCCAAGCTGGTGACATGTCAGTGAATCCTTTACCAAAGGAGGCGTTGACTAAGATGACCGAGGAAACAGGCACCTTACCAGGCGAAAGATTGAGCACATGTGCTGCTGCCACCTAGCATTCTGGCGCTGCAGAATAGCGTTCTGTCACTGGAGTTCCAGCTGCTGAATTATTTGCTTGATCTTATCTTATGAAGAGCTCCATCGCATCAAGTCCGGAGACCGTCACGGCGCCGGCCGGAGCAGGGGCCCCGTTGGTTTCAGTTTCCTCACCCTTGCAACGCAAACGAAGAATAGCCTTCAGGTCCCGGACGGCGGCCAATTCCGCAGCAAACTCATCAGAGCGGGCTCGCGGGGGAGGCGGACAGCTCGAAGTGCACGCTTTGCAGCTATGCCGAACTAAATGCGTTGTTCGATGAGCCCGTCCTCCTGCCGTGACGGATATTAATGAAGGCTGATGGCGTTCCATTGACGGGGTACTTACATCCTGTCCTTGCCGGTGTACTCGAGCTTGTCGTTGGCCTCCACGAACCGAACCACTGCTTTCAGGGCTCCTTGTGGAATCTGGCTGTCAATTAGCCATGGCGAAACAATGCTGCAAGAGGCGTCATAGCTTCATACGGCAGGACAAATAGTTCCGTTCTGGGCGCAGTTCGAGCACCGCACACCGTCACCTAGCACCGGAATACTCAGCCTGCGGCACCAAGAAGTCCGGTATGACAGAACCAAGGACCCGTCTGATCGTAGTAGCATGCTAGCTCGAGGTTGTCAACCATTTTGCCTAGCCATCGTCGGCACCTGAGCGCAGGAACGCGTTAGCGGCAGAGAACACAAGTTACGCAGCTGCGTAGCATACGGTATGATCCGGCGCGTCCGGGTGCACTTCTGTCTTGTGCCAATTCGATCGTCTGAAGTGGGTGCCTATCCCGCTGTTACTTAACAATTTGAGAAACTTCCACTTCTCTAACTAGGTAGCAGACGCTTGTTATCATAAATAATACTACAAGAGCCGCAGCGGCATGGCTGCGTTTTATACCTGAACTCGATCCAGCAGGTTCGTCTTCAGAGGCGGGACTCCACTGAAGCATCGAGACCCTGACAAGACTCCTTAACGAGGGCGAAGTTTCTCTAGTTTGCGACATTTGACTTTTATAAGTCAATATATCGGCAATCGGACGGTCGTTCTCATATCGCGGTAGACGCGTCTACTAAGTCCTTACGAGGACAAGAATACTTGCTCCGCGCACGCTAATTCTCTACTGTACACGGTAAGTAGTCTATGGATTAGTCTTGGAGGGGACGAGGGTGATGTAGCAGGGGTTGGAGCGGAAGCTCTTCGTCTAAGCTGCTCTCAAGCACTGAGTTCGTACCTTACTCCCTATCACTTACGGCCACTCCGTACAGAGGTCAAGTACGGATAAGCACAGAGTCACTTCGCGCTCCGGACTGGAGGCGCCCTGCTTATCTCCCGTTCAGCCACTGTGGCGTGGACACATGTTCTTGGCGCACCGCATTCGTTCACGTGCTGTCGCCTCGGCGGAGGCGGCGAAGGAGCCTTTCAACATTCAACATCGCGATCGTCTCGAGCCCGATCTTCCATTGCGACGTGCCGACTCATCTAACTCGGCACTTTGTTTGGTGCGGAGTGTCGCACTGTATCAAAGCATAATATGAGCGACCAAAAGCGAATAAGGGACTTTGTCTCCGGACTTGCCCTCGCTGCTGCCGGGGTGCGTACAAGTTTGATGGAGGGGAAGGGAGGTTGTTACTTGTTTGCTAACAGAACCTTCCAGGCGATATCGGCGTATTATGTGTATCAAGAGCTCCTCAGGCCATACCTCGACAAACTACTCGACCCCGACCGAGAGAAGAACGAGCAAACCAGGTTAAAAGCCCAGGCGAACCTCCAGAGGATACGACGAAAACAGGCCGAAGCGGTAGGCGAAGGCGACGATGGGACAGACTGGTCGCGACAAACAGCCAGGTTGGAGGACCTTGTTCTCAACGACTACGAAAACCAGGTAGCCCTCGAGGTTGTTGCGCCAGAAGACATTCCGGTCGGCTTCGACGCCATTGGCGGCCTGGAGGACATCATCGAAGAGCTCAAGGAGGCGATCATCTATCCATTAACAATGCCGCATTTGTACAGTCACGGCGGGGCGCTGCTGGCGGCGCCCTCTGGCGTCCTACTGTACGGACCCCCGGGCTGCGGGAAGACGATGCTGGCCAAGGCCGTGGCCCACGAAAGCGGCGCCTCCTTCATCAACCTACACATCTCGACTTTGACGGAAAAATGGTACGGCGACTCCAATAAGCTGGTCCGCGCCGTCTTTTCTCTGGCACAGAAGCTGCAGCCCGCCATCATTTTCATCGATGAGATTGACGCTGTCCTGGGCACACGGAGGAGCGGGGAGCACGAGGCGAGCGGCATGGTCAAGGCCGAGTGAGTTGTCCTACCCACCCAACGGCATGATTTGATCCTGACAGACGCAGATTCATGACCCTTTGGGACGGTCTTACCTCGACAAACGCCGCCGGCGTTCCTAATAGGATTGTTGTGCTTGGGGCCACCAACAGGATCAACGATATCGACGAGGCGATCCTCAGGAGAATGCCCAAGAAGTTTCCCGTGCCGCTTCCTGGGATGGAACAACGGCGACGCATATTGCAGCTGGTACTAGGCAACACAAAGCGCGACCCCGAGAACTTTGACCTCGACTACATTGCGAGGGTGACAGCAGGCATGTCTGGCAGCGACATCAAGGAAGCATGCCGCGACGCGGCCATGGTGCCCATGAGAGAGTACATCCGCCAATACCGGGCGTCAGGCGGAGCCATGTCGCATGTGAATCCCGACCACGTCAGGGGTATCAGGACCGAGGATTTCTTTGGCCGCAGGGGCGGGCGAGTCGTTGCCGAAACACAGTCGCGCCAGGTGAACGTCTCCGATGCGCCCAGTGACGAATATGAGGAAATGGAAGAAGAGGAAGGCGACCAAATCACTTCCTCGGCATAATCCAGCGTCCAATTCCTGTGCACCGCAACATCAGTCCCTTTTTTGCCTACGTTACCTGTGGACATGACTGTAAGACTTGATGGACGACACGGCATACCTACCGGCACGCAAACGAGTAACAGTTATAGAACATACCTAGATAAATGGACCACGTCTTCCATTCATTTCAGTGTCACGCCAGTTTACTGTTTAGCCGACTTAACCATCTCGTTTGAATCTCTCCTTCAGCGAGGGGACGCTTCTCGTTTCTAGTCGTCAATGGGACTGCCGAGTCGGCAACACGGCAGCGATCTTGCCCCTAGCAAATCACGTCATTCGAATACCCACAGTGGGTTTCCTCGTCAGAGGCCAGTACCTTGAGCGCCAGTGATCCGCCGCTGCCCGCGAAGTACCTTTTTATTAATCTATGCTCCGGGGTCGGACGGAAGAAGTGGGTCGACCCTGTCAATGCACGGCTCCTTCCCCAAGAAAGACGAATGACTCCAGGGAAGGCGGAACAAACTCTGGCAGGCCGACCCTAAACTCGAAGCGCCAATTGCTCCTCAAAACTCATCAACGAACGGATCCTTCAGGTTACTACAATTATTCATCAGATTTTCAGGCAACCTGCGCTCGCCCTGTTGTCCCATCGCGTGGCGATTCCAAGTTCTCCTCAATTTCCCCGCCACGTGCCGCCCTCTTCCAGACTCACCTCACCTTCACCGACTGGCTAGTCCTTCTCAATGGCAACTTCAAACAGACTTAGCCCTGCATCGCAGGCTGCCAACAAAGTGTTCACCAGAGTAGACCTTGATGGCCATGCTCTCCCACCGTCACCTGCCCCGTCGAGCCCGCTCTCTGGGAGGAAGCGGTATGCCTTGGCCACGGAGTTGGTCTACACCGAGTCCAAGGATCAGTATGGTGCCTCGAGCATCCCCATCTATCAGTCGGCAACTTTCAAGCAGACGTCGTCCAACGGCGGCAACGAGTATGACTACACCCGATCTGGAAACCCCACCCGGACACACCTCGAGCGGCACCTGGCCAAGATCATGAACGCGACCCGCGCCCTGGCTGTTGGCTCCGGCATGGGCGCCCTGGATGTCATCACACGTCTCTTGAAGCCGGGCGACGAGGTCATCACCGGCGACGATTTGTATGGTGGCACCCACCGCCTCCTTACATATCTCAAGAACAATCAGGGTGTTGTCGTACACCATGTCGACACTACCAATGCCGATTCGGTCACAGAGGTCATTTCGGACAAGACCGCCATGGTCTTGCTTGAGACCCCGACAAACCCGCTCATCAAGATTGTCGATATCCCCTCGATTGCAAGGGCAACACACGAGGCAAACAGCAAGGCGCTGGTGGTGGTGGACAACACGATGCTTTCACCCATGCTCTTGAACCCCCTGGACATCGGCGCAGACATCGTCTATGAGTCCGGCACCAAGTACCTCTCGGGCCATCACGACATCATGGCTGGCGTGATTGCGTGCAATGATTCGGAACTCGGCGACAAGATGTACTTCACAATCAATGCGACGGGTTGTGGCCTCTCGCCCAACGATTCATTCCTCCTCATGAGGGGCGTCAAGACCCTGGCCATCCGCATGGAGAAGCAGCAGGCCAACGCCCATCAAATCGCAGAGTTCCTCGAGTCGCACGGCTTCCGCGTTCGATACCCCGGTTTGAAATCACACCCACAGTACGATCTCCATTGGTCTATGGCCCGGGGCGCCGGCGCTGTGCTATCATTCGAAACCGGTGACGTTGCGCTCTCTGAGAGGATCGTCGAAGCCACTCGACTGTGGGGTATCAGCGTCAGCTTTGGCTGTGTCAACAGTCTCATTAGCATGCCCTGCCGCATGAGCCATGCTAGTATCGATGCCAAGACCAGACAAGAGAGGCAGATGCCCGAGGATTTGATACGTCTCTGTGTCGGCATTGAAGATGCGGGTGACTTGATAGACGATCTCTCTCGTGCTGTAAGTTATACCAGACACCATCCTGTACCTGCTCGCCTGGACAACCCCCTGACACTCACACTTCTGTAGCTTGTACAAGCCGGCGCGGTCACGGTCACGCTAGATGGTTTCCACGCGCATGATGTGGACGCCGACAGTGAGACTCCCTCGGCCTAGCAGTCTCGCATTTCTCCTTAACCGCATATGCCAGTCGCTTGCTGCCCACAGACTCTGGCGTTGATTCTTAGGCATGAGGGGTGGGATTCTGCATAGACTTGAAGGTAACGAAGTACAACCAAAACGATTTCCCGAGTTTGGAAACGCCAATACCTCCGTATAGCAACCCGAGACACACGGGTGCTGCACCTACAGCCGCGCGCCATCTCTGCTCGGACTATTATCGCTGTCTCGTCTTTCTCCGCGACTGCTTCAACCGTCAGATCTGGCACATTCGGTTCGCCGAGCAGGAATCGTCGCCTACCCGGTCAGTCCGCCCAGGAAAAGAGCTTCGTTGATGGTGAGGTTTCTGGGATCACATTCGTCGCTCCAGGCCTTCAGCATTGGCGATTGTTGCTGAAGTGCATTGTCGGCGGCAGCTGACTGAGGCTGGCTTCGTTGGCCGTCACTGCGGACATAAGCAAGAGTATCCTTCGACGTGGAGTGATCACAGGGCGAGGACGACAAACCGTTGATGAATATCCTGAGTACGTCTCTGGTCTTTCACGCTGTGGGGCATGGTTGGTCGGGGCGTTGGAGTGTCGGGATCTTTTATCAGCGAGGATTCTGGTAGACGCTCTGGAAGGGACACGTACATTCGGCTGATGGGAGGGCGTTGGGTCTATATGACCTCTCTGTCACCAGGACGGTCAACCAGAATACGCTAGGGGGTGCTCTCCGCCAAGGATAGCCTGCGGAACAAGCACTATTCCTGGTGGCATGATTAATAGAAGGCACGCCGCTTCACCCTGGTCCGTCCATACTGCTGCACAATGTCAACCATTGATAGCGCGATTTTTATCTCAAGCCCGGGGTCCGATCGAACCGCTCAAGTGCCCCTGCAGAAGCATCGTGGCGACCAGGAATTTGGTCAAGCCATGGCGATCTTGGTCGAAAAGTCGCTTGTATCGATTTTCATATGTTGGACGCCACAACTCCCTGTTGCCCGGAAGCATGTGTCGGTAATACCGTCCGCCGCTCGATGCTCAGCTCTACCATACGCCGTGGCTTGCCAGTCAAACGGCACGATCAAAACCCGCTCATTGCATGCAGAATATTTAATTCGCATCGCGTCTGTCGCCCATTCGTCGACGTCTCTTGGGCCGAGGAGTCGTTTCTTCATCCACCAGAGACAGACCAGAGACTGTGGCGGCAGTACCACACACCATCTCTCCCCGGATCGACCGTCAGAGCGCACTTGTTCAAAGCGCTGCGGCCGATGCCCTCACGGCCGTGTTTGCCCACCAAGATGCGTCCTCAAAGGTACGGCTTGACATTACTGCACGACTTGAGTCGTTTATCTGCGACGGGAACACACCACCGCGTTCTGACCGGTGGCGATATTCCTTCGAGAGACATTGCCTTCAATTTGTTTGTTTGCTCTTGCAGGACGAGCCAGGGAGCGCGCCTTTCAGCTGAGAATACCCCTGTGACTTTGAGAACTAAACGGGTTGTCCTGCACCCGGATCGCGACCGCGCTGGTATCCGATTTCCCCAGGTCAGCACTGCAAGATAGCGATGCGGATGGGAAGTGATGGGACATATCCGCCCTGGGATTGAACATCCCTCACTCGCCGTCCCGCGACGTTCCCACTGACCTGGGAGGGGACAGTCGGCAGTGATTTCGTCAAAGCGCTCCCGACGCTAGACGTTACACTTGGGTGCTGTCGATATACTGGGTGGTGCTTGACAGCGCAAGTGAAAGCTCGGGCAGAAATGTTCTGCTCAGGAACAGAGGATGGAGGGCGGTGGATGTGCTGACTCCAGACTGCATCTGCAGGTTCCCGATAACCATGTCTAATAATCCGCTCTCGGTCAGAATTGCCGAGCTTTTCACCATCGAGGGCTCGTCATGCCGGACGCCGTTACCGCCCAATATCCTCGCTATGACGGTTCTCGACGCCGTCGACACTGCCCAGGCTGTGGCATCGCATGAGAGTCACCTCGGCTGCGTCACCCAGGAAAGTCGTACAAACAGGGCCCGCCGCGGCTGGCATGTCGAATATCTGCGCCCTCGGGGTATCGATGAGACAGGAGCAAAAATCCCCCGCCTCGCTCGGTCACACAGTTTCGCCGTCATTCTCCTAGCGAGTGGCGCGCGCTGTCATCGGACTCAACGTCGCTGTCGGCCGTCAGACGGCCTAACACAACACCTACCTACATATGCCGCCAGTGCCCCGCAGGCGAGGGGTATCCCGGTCTGTCAACCCTCGCTTGCTCCGTCCCAGGTGCGACAACAGGCCAGTCTAATAGTCTCGGTGAAGGAGGCCGGTAAATGGAGACATCTCGGCCCGCACGAGATGCTTCTAGCGTCGCCGTCGCCGCCAGATCCTTCCCTTACCCTTCACAGCAGACAGAGCCAGGCTCCTTCCCTGACCGCTACTCCGACAAGTTGGGACTCTTAGACTCGCCATTGTCGAGTCGCACGGCGGCATGCACGAACAATGTAACAGGCAACGCCGACAGGTTGGTCATGCGGTACACTTACTGAGAAAAGGGAGGAAAGGGGTCAAGAAGGGCCGGCCGAGGTGCATGGAGAGGTCGCCGAACATGGAGGAGAAGAGAGAACAAACAACGCGCGCATGCGGCCACTGCAGTGCTGGTCCGTTTTGATGCCCCGCAAACTCTTCATCTCCGGCCACACACCATCGGCGATAGGAGGAGCGTCACTACATCAGCAATAGGCCGGGTGTTGACATGACAAAGGGGCTCACTATGATTCTTCCAGGCAGCTCGACGGTACCACAATCGTCACGAAACAGTCCTTCGTCCAAAATCGTGCACACTCGGCTCGCAAACCTTCGAAAAATTGAATCTCGGCTACCCGCCATTCTCAGAGACCACATGCTCCGTTCCGGGAGCGTCTCGTCTTCGGGACCATATGGGATGGTTGCATCTGATTTCTTCGAGATTCGACGGATCTTGGTGGAATTAAGAATACCAGGATTTTGCACTACGTGCATCGTTAGGATTCAAAATGTACGTAACCTACCGAGCAGGAAGGACAACTTTGAGGTATAGCCCCAGGCCGCCGTAGTCAATGTGTCGGCAATGCCATGGATGGACGGACGGCCCTTTAAGGGGCTCGAGCGAGATTTGACCGAGTCGCTCAAAAACAGCCGTCACTGCAGGGGAATTATGCTCAATCACTCGTCCAGATTCCATGTACTAATGCGCTCTCTCTGCTTGTCCGGTGTTCGTGCAGCATATGAGAGACACAGGACTTGAACAGACCTGTGATGGATGAGACAGCTTAGGCAAGTACAACACTGAGCTTTTTACTGAGAGGGCCTCGTGCGGGAGGCCTCTAACCTCAAAACGCCGACGGCAACATGGCATATCAAGATGGGAGTTCTGCCGGTTGGCAACTAAGACACTGCTCCCTTGAATCTCTCCTTGACAGAACCACAAACAAGGCAGTGATATGTTCTATATGAAGGTCGCATGCTTGACATGATAGATACGATGAGATTCCCTCCTATCAGACATGCCCCATCCGCCCAACGGCTCCCCCATCCGCAACTTCATTTGGTCTCTGGTATACATTGTAACTGGTTCAGAAATGGACAGAGACAGAGATACAGGATGCACAGCTAAAACCAAGCACGGTACACACACGGGTATTGACATTGGAGCGCATGCCATCCGAGACCGAGACAGAAGCGGAGAGGGGAAAGAAAGGAGGAGAGTGAATGGACGAGTTGCACACCCACACCGCCAACCCAAGGAAACCCAACCGTTTTCCGGGGACGCACCGAGGATGAATTCAGCGTGCTCAAAGACCACTCTAACGCTGCTGCTTCGTTGATGTTGAGGGAGGACATGAGCTACCAGGAATCAAGCAATACCAACTCTGTTCATTTCAATATTGATTACTGCAAGCACAAAGTCAGGAAAGAGAAACAGCACATAGGTGTAAGCCCAAAGAAGACAGCAAAACCATCTACCAAGGCACGAAAGAAAAACAACAAGACTAAGACACCCAACTCGCTGCTCTGCACTCAACAAATCAACCAACCACACTCCCCAATCTCAAGCCAACTTCCCCTTCCCCTTCCCCTTCCCATCCAGCGACGGGTACTCATCCACAACGCCATTGGCATTGCCCCGCGCCTCCTGATCCCTGGCCCTCCTCTGCCTCGCCTCCTCCTCCTCCAAGCTCAACCGCAGCGCAAGCGCCAAATCATCATCAGCGCTGACCCCAAGATCAGGGGTAGCACCAACCTCTGACGCGACGACATAGCCCGAGGGAAGTCCACCAAACCCAAAAGAACTACCGGCAGTTGCTTCAGAGGACAGCCGCCGCCCCTTCCCCTTGCCCTTCGCAGTCTTCACCTGCACCTTCACCCCATACTCACAGACATTATTACTCCACGAAGACGCAGGGGCAGAGGCAGACGCAGGCGCCGACAGCTCCGCCTCCATCCCGGCATCGCCAACCCCTTCCAAAAGCGACAGCCGAATAGCCCTCTGAATCTGCGCCTCATACTCCTCGTCCACCGCCTCCTCCTCCCTCAAGACTGGCAGCAGACTACGCCGCTGAGCACTCGGCCCGGCGACCCCATCGCTCACCCCTCTTCCCATCCAACTCAGCTCAGGCGTGGCAGTCTCCACTCCGCCATGGTTAGCCGAACTCCCCCCACTCGACGAAGAACTCGCCGATTCGCCTGCGGTATCGCTACTCGCGCTGGTGGTGGCGCGGCGCGCCTCGTCCACGGCAAAGCTCTCCTCCGAGATCATGCGCGCATACTGCAGCGCCTCCTCCTCGGTCAGCTCGGCCAGCCCGACGCCGAACCGCTTGCGGAGCCGGTCGGTCTCCCTCGATCGGTGCTCCTGCTCGTGGCGCAGCTCCGCCTCCTCGGCGGCGATGTAGCTCGACACGGTGCCGCTGTGGCGGCGGCTGGCGAGCCGGCCGTGTATGTCCGAGTGCCGGAGCCGGCGCTTGCGGCCAGGTGCCTGGTTGGTCGAGCTGTAGGTCCAGAAGCGGATGAAGGTGCCGAAGGCGAGGACGCCTCGCAGGACGGTGGCGTCTGGGTCGAGGACGATGGAGCGGACGGCGAAGTAATTCGCGTGTTGCAGCGCCGGGTTTTGGTGCAGAATATGTCGGGGGATGCGGCCCGAGGATCTGGAGTTCAGAGTTCGGGTAGCCTCGAGGGACGACGCGAGCGGATCCCATGCTTGGACGAGGCTGTCGCTGCCTCCGTGAACGAGATACAGCGCCGACACGGCAAGGGCAGTAACTTCCGGCGACTCAGTCTGTATGACTCTCAGGGGGTGCACCGCTGGCGAACCCGTGCCACGCATGTTCCAGACGACGACGGTGCCGGTGTTTGTTCCGACAGCTAGGAGACGGGCCCGCCGTCCAGGGATTTCGCCCGTAGCATGCTTGGACGTCGGGGTGCTGGGAGTGTTGGGCCCTGACGCCTCTGCGAGTAACGGATCCTCAAAAGCTGCCATGATCGCGAACGTGGACATGTCGACCGCACTCGCAGTGATCTCCGTGGCCGGCTTCTGTTTGAAGACAAACTCGCTAGTCCGCCATTCTTCCGTCTCGACCATTCCCGGGATCGATCCGAGCCGAGGAGTAGTCATTCCAGAGAGCGACGGAGATACGCCGCCCCCATTGATGCTGGCTTGAAATACCGCTTCAATCACCTCAACCTCGGTCTCTCCTCCATAGATTGACGGGCGAGAGGCAGTGAGCGGGGCGACAGGAGTCAAGGCCCCGGAAGGACTCAACTTGATAGAGCTGCCGCCCTTGACGTATCTGCGGACAGCGGCAGGTTCACCCTCTTCAGTACCGCAGGTGATTACGAAGACGGCCTCTCCGCCACCACTTTCACCACCGGCGGCAAAGTCGACCTCGAGCCTACGCAGCATATCCCAGCCCTGGCAGACCTTCTTGAAGTGAGCAGGCGTCTTGCGGAAGAACTCCTCAATTTCCCTGGCCTCCGCAACGGCCTGCTCCCTGCTCAGGTTCATCGAGTTGGCTGACGACCTTGGCGAGTATGTGCCCGAAATGGCATTCTTGTCGAACTCGTCCGGCTTGGCCGTACGGCGAGTGGGCTCGATCAGTTCCCAATATGCCGTGCGGCCAACATGCCAAGCATCCTTGACCGCATCCTCGACCTTACCCTTGTGCAGCGGAGGGGCTGGAGGTTCGGTCAAGTAGAAGACCTCTCCCAAAGCATTCAGTGCGACAGCCCAGACTCGCCCGAGACCCTTCCGCCGCAGGCTGTACTGGTCATCAACCTTGATGTCGATGATAGGAACTCCAGGGCTGAGAACCCAGCGGGCCGTCATGTCCCCATCGCCATAACGCGAGCCAGTGGACTCATGGCCCAAAGCGTAGCTCGTCACCACGCCGAGCGTAGACCCAGCCATGATTCCAACCATCGACTGCGTCGTGGATGTCACGTTATTCGATTTGGCGATCCAGACACAGCTGATGGCATCGGTCAGTTCGGGGATCTTCGGAATCTCTGGCGCTGTTTCGACCATGTTATGGCTGTGTCCGAGATAGTGTCCACGCAGCTGTCCAGGGGTCTTGTAGTAGACTCGACCTCCGGGAAAGCCCTCGCCACCGACGAGGCCAAATGGTTGGCTCACGTCCATGACATTAGGCACAGCTGCGGGGCCTTCGCCGGCTCCGTAGAATTCGAGGTTCGGAAAGACTTCATCGAGCTGCTGAAAAGAGAAAGGGTCGTCTAAGCCCCATTTCTCGATCCTGCCCGTGGTCGGGTCGCTGACCGTGGCCACACCAAGGTCCCGAGTGCCGTGAATCACCCTCGGCCCTTTTTTGCCGCCCGTGAAGTCAGCATGGACATGGCTGATCATCCACGGAAGCTTCGAGTTATAGGTGAGCACAGCGCTGGCCTTCCTCCCTGATTGGCTGGAGCGAGTTGAGGACCCAATGCTGCCAGGCTTTCCGCGCACCACGCTCCTCAGCAGGCGAGTTCGGAGCAGGTATTCGCTGCGCCAGGAGGCAAGAGGAGTGAGACGCGTGAAGTAGCGGACCTCGGATCGGATGACGTCCGACACATCGGCATCTCTGGCCTGCTGGTTAGCCTTCGCATGGCCGGCCGACAATTCCTGCCCAGCGAAGTAGCGCAGGAAGGCGGCCCGCCATGCATATGGTGTGGTGACGAGGGCATAGAAGCGTTTCGAAACCAGGGCCACGGCGCTGTGCGAATCGGGATGCAGGTGGGACAGGATCTGAGTCAAGATTTCTGCAGCGGTTCAAGTCAGCGACCGGCCGCAGCAGTCAGCTCGAAAGGTAGGCTCGCCCGTAGCAAGAGAAACGAACCGTTCGGGAAGTCTGTCAGCTGGACACCAGCAGAGGGGGTGCCATGGGTGACCTTGAAGCCCAAGGCCGGATGGGAACTGCTGCTCTTGCTGCGGGGTGACGAGGAGATGGCTGCATTCTCGTAGTCGAAGATGCGTTGGCCGGCGACGGGAACTCGGGTGGCTGCAGCAGCAGATTTGCCCTCGGCGACATTCAACCGTCCAAGGGTTTGGTCGAGCTGGCCGACGACATCAGGGCCGGTGTCGTCAGAGGCAGCCCCTCCACCCGAGTGCCGGGCATCCGGCGACGCCGTTCGGCCACGCGCCGGAGAGCGAGCGGCTGGCAAGCCTGAGCGAGAGCGACCGGGGCCATGTTGAGCGGTGGTTTTCTGGGGAAGATGGGAGTTGGCTGTGTGGAAGTCGCTGGTTGGAGTCTCGATCAGCCCTGATTGCATAAAGTTTCGTGCGAGAGCGCTGGGTCAAGTTGCAATCGGCTGTGCACCTTGGTTTGCACAGTCGAAATGGGACGCTGGTTATCGCTGACTGTTACGTGGAAAAAGAGAATGTGAAGTCAAACTCCGGAGATGGCGCCTTCACCCGCGATGAGTGTGCTCTAACTAATCGTTGGTAACGTGTATCTGCGCTTGGGTGCGTGGGAGCAGAACAGTGATGGAGTGACGTGTTTGTGCGATCCAAGATTTCCTGTTGTGTCACCCGGTTGCCGACCAATGGGCTGCCGCACGTGGCCTCGGCGTTTCGGGTTCGGGTTCGGGTTCGGGTTCGGCAGGAGGACCCTTCTGGCAAGGTCCAATTTACGGCAAACCTCCAAGCAACGAACGGCGTTGTTGACGCCTTCGACGCCACAGCGCCGTCAATACTGTCGCTTGAGCCTCACAACTCTCACTTGATATAGACTTGATGATTACGGAGGATGCAATAATCGAATTCCGCACACGCCATCGTGGTTTGCAATGCGTCTCGGAGCTGCCTCCACTTTGTTCTCCCGTCACTTCCAGTTCACGAGACCCTGTCGTTTCGTCCATTGTCTGTTACGTTAAAGCGTAACCCTTCCCCGTAACGACGTGGACATACCCGAGTCAGGCGACCCGTATCACTACGACCAATGATCGTCTGCTGTGATTCATGCCCTCCGCAACTGGACCTCTCGGTGATCATTTTCCCTCTCAGGAACAAAATGGTCGCGGCAGTGGGACCTGAGACATTGAATCAAGCCTTTCGCTATGGGTCCCTCGGATCATGGACCGACAAAAGTGGGTTCCGAGTTCCAAAGCCGTTGCCATCCTATCCCTGACGGATCCTACACAGTATGCCCTTGCTCCTCCGAGCTTCGAACGACTGGTCATATCTGCCATGCCACAGTATCAAAGAAAGTGCCTGGCTTGGCGCGGGCATGAGTTCCTGAAAAGCCCTGGGTGTGCGGGTGAGGTTCCATTGCGGAAGCTGGGATGAACGGCGATAGACCGGAACGAGGACTCGCGAGAGTTGGGCGCGGCAAGCATCACAGAGTTCCAGGGATGGGGATGAGTAGGCCGTCGGTGATAGTTGAGAAAAATGCATCGCTGCGCCGTGACAACCTTCTTATACCGTAACCTTGAAGCCCCCGTTGCTGTTTCTCACCTGTCATCTTTAGACTCGAGAGAAGAAGGCAAAAACCCCTGAGCATCGCCTCTCGCTGACCCTTGAAAAGGTCCGCTCCATTGACCGGAGACCAGGCTGCCAAATGAGGTCGGCTTTGGGCTAATCGAGATGATAGTAGACAGGTGTGAATGATGGTTGGGAGCCGTTTGTTATTGTAAAGGAGCAATCGTCTTCGATGAGAGCTTGAGCCGAGGTTGGTGATGAATCAGGTTGTGGACCGGCAAGGGAACACTTTTTGTTGTGGACGCGCCACCAATGAAGCCATTTCATACGTGATGATACCACGTACCATTGCGCCGGCGCGCACGGAGGGCAAGCATTGCCGAGCACCATGCATCCTGAGGCATTGCAAAACGCCACCTCGTCCAGCCCAGGGGTTGTTGAGTCTAGGGAGTACGGAGTCCACAGTACGGACAGGCGAATGCAGCGAATCCTATGAGGGTAAGAGCTCTTTTGGACGCCCGCCGAAACTGCACCTCATTGTCCAAATCACTTTTCGACACGCGAGGGTTTTGCTCAGAGCACACAGGGGGCGGGGAAGCAAGTCGCGGCATGTTGCAGGTCCCTGCCATTGGTGCGAGAAGCAACGCTTCGCAGCCTCCCACGGTTCGGGTTGCAACCGCCCAGATTCGCCCTCGTGTAACTATCCATACCGATCACATATCTGCCACCAGGAATCATGAGGAAAGGGGCCGTGCGGGCAAAAAAGAATCTATCTCGTTGTACATGTTCTTCGGTGAAAAAGAAGCAAACGGCGCTGCCGCCATCGGATGATGTGCGTCTCGAGATCAGCGCCTGGCCGGGGCGTCCCGTTGTTAGCGTCCGCAGGGGTGGAGCCGGACAGTCGGGAGACCACATCTGCAGTCGACTTCGTTCTGTGGCCAGCTGGCTGCTGACTTCAAGGGCTTATAGACTTTCCGCTGATAAGGCGCTGTTAGGGGTCTCATTCGAATCGAAGCATATTCCTTTCTCGGAACAAGAATTTGCAGACGAGGTTCACGAGTGTAAAGGTGGCCGTTCCGAAACGGCCTTCCTAGCCGAGGGCTTCGGGCGATGCAGCACAATTGCAGCGAGCCTATGGCCGATGCTGGCCTCCGAGCGGGGAACTTCTATGGCATCCGGAGGCTCCGTGAGAAGACAACATCCAGTCAATGCCAAGACTTGGGGGTCCCGCTCCGGAGAGCAGACGCTGACCAAACTTGAAGTCGAGGCGGCGCCATTTTGGCAGCAAACGAGGTGTGATCAAAGCTGTTCCCAAGTGTGGCCGTTACATGTCTGCGTTCATGATTTCTCCAATAAAAGTCGTCAACAATGCTCCATAAAGTTCGAGGCAAGCCGAGCTTGACTGGTGAATGAGCGGTGAGGAAAGGGACAGCATGCTCTCCTTCTCGGGACCCGACAGTCTGGGACCAAGGGCGGATGGCCGCTGGCCGTTGAGCTGCTGCAGAATCTTGAGCAACATCAAGCAGGAACTGGTGGGCGGCCCAATTGGAAATGGACGCCGTGGCGGGGGCTCGGAGTCCATTCTCGGGAAGAAAGGAGGCAAAAAGAGAGTCCTTTGTTGAGTTGAGGGAACAGCAACTGGCTGACGTTGCAAGTCGATACTCTTGCCGACTTCCCAGCCCTGGAAGGCACAATCGAATCCTGCTGATAACGCTTGAGAGAAAAGGACATGTAACGCCAGGCCCTTGTGGGTGTCCTAAGCTTATACTCTGAGGTGCCACCGCCACAGAGAAGTGTGCTTGAAACCTGCTTGTGGGTTTGCTGGAAGCGAATCTCTTCATATTGACTGCTGCGGGACGGTGAATAGCAGTGACTCCAGCGGTTGCTCGAAGCTGAACGAAGCAAACCGGGAGGTATGGGCATGTTCTCCGGTTATGTCCAGCCGGCCCGTTGAGTGCAGGCAGCCCGGGACTAAATCGCGCAAGGTCTTTCGAACGGGGAAGTGGCCCGAATAATTGATACCTCCATTCGGCCATCCGGGTTTTACTCACCACAAGCCAATTGGCTTGTTTAACCACAGTCAAGAAGACGATACGGAGGCACGTTCTTGCAGTGAGTTCTGATCGTCAATTGTGAGGGAAAGAGGAGAACAACTGAGCACGCCGTGCCGTGTGTGCGTATAGCGCAATCACCACCAACCTTGGAGCTGCTCGATTCGGCTGCTGCATCGCGTCGATGTTACGCTGCAGTCAGTGGACGGCATGAAAGCTGCAGGACACGACGCAAGTCGACGAGTTGGTGGGCATCAAGTATTGCCAACTTGGCCGCCAGCCGGGACAGCGCCACTTGAGAGTGACGGTATCATCATGCCCAAGTACAGCTCTCCAGCGATGAAGCATGGACGGGAGCACGTTCGATGCCTGGTTGTCGTCCGTCGATCGCTGCAAGCCGAGTGTCGTCGGAGTCCGCAGCGCCGCGGATTGCCGAATCACGAACTGGCAAAGATCCGATGCCGCCACTTCGATATTGATCATGATTTGGAGAGTGACAGCAGTCTGTACGGAGCTCGGGCAGCGTGCGCTGGGTGTTATGCTGTCGTGGCAGACCAACAGTTTTCTTGTTGTTTTGAGTTGGTGCAGAATGGAAAACGTTCCCTTCCAAAGCGGGTGCCAGAGTGGGGCTTTACCCATGCTGCCGGAAGTATTCCCAACCCCGCGACTGGGTGGCTTGGATGGAAGTTGGAAAAGTCGGGCGATTTCCCCGTTTTGGCAGCAGGGGACGTCGCCCCGCAACGCAACCGCTTCCAAGAAAGACGCAAGCGAAGTGACTGGTCGCTTGAACCAGTGGAGTCGTACCCCGCCCAAGTGCCAAGACAAGAAATACGGCGTGCCAGCTCCGTTTCCTCTGCGTTTTGTAATCGAGAAATAGGTAAGCTACACGTTCATACAAGTTGCCATGCAAAGCACTGACCGTCCGTCGCCTCGGTACCTCGTCCTCCGTTCCGTCGCTTCCCACTTCCCCGGGACCACCCAGTGGCAAAGTGATTTCGAGCTGTCGGTGCTGGTCCCAGGTGTGCGGCCCACAACTTGCGTGTTGTTTCGCCGCCGGCGTCTCGCGCAGACCAGGGCAGGGCTTGGGCTCGGCAGCATTGGGCCTAACTATTGATAAGCGGCGGTCGCCTGCGTGTGGACGCTTTCCCATGTGGCCTGCTCGAAGTGAAGTGGTTGACTGGTTTTAAGGTCGTTCCCTGTTCTCCGTTCCCGCAATTGGCGTGGACCGCAGACCTGGGTTGTCCCCCGTACCTTACCCATCCTGTCGACACCACCGCTAGCGTGCTGCAATACTCCCTCGTTTCCGCCCCGTGGGCCGGCTGGAGCGCAAGAATACACCCCTATCCTTGTTAGCCGCTTGCACTGCACCACACCAGATCCTCTTGCTCTCTCCGCTCTCTTCTCCTTCCCCCTTCCCGCTCCGGCCGGCGCTGGGATCCGGGTTTTGTTTTCTCTTCTCCTTCTTCCCGGATCTGTGGTCGCCTCATCTCAACCTCATCCCAACAAGACCCTGACCGAGTTAGGGTCGAAAGAACCGCCAGCACGTTGACAAACACGTGCGACACCCCAAAGGAGCGAGCGTGGGACGCAGTCTAATAAGTGCACAGATCATCCAGCTGCCAAAGGCTGCTTGGATAGGTGCAGGGGCCTAGAGGATATCGCTTGGACTGTGCTGGTCTTTTGAAGCGCCCTCACAGCCAGTCCATTACCACAAACTTTGACATCGTCACACGATATCGATTCAATCACCGCTCGGGTCCTCTCATTGAGCCGTCAGTCATAAGCAGCCGGTGTTGCCCACGGACACCACAGACACAATATCCGACAAGCACTATCTAACAGCAAACTGCCGTCAATATGAGTTCTCCCGCGCAGGGTGGACCTTCGGTCCCAAAAGAGAAAGAGAAGGAGAAGAAAGGCTTGGGAAAGGTCCTGTCCAGGATGAAGACGGTTTTGAAGAAGGCCGGAGGTGATCGCCGCCTATCTACGATCGGCTCGAAAGCTGATACCCCAACCGCCGGTGCTGCTGCTGCTGCTGATACAGCTCCAGCTTCGAGGTATGTCATATTTTCTATCTCGTCTCAGAATTAGCATTGATGGCGAATGGTTATGAGAGAGGTGGCTAAGACATCTCTCGACGTCCTTGTGCTTATGATCTAACCTTCCGTGACAGCGAACCTGCACCGCCTGCCGCCGAGGCTCCAGCGGCCGTGGAAGCGACCAAAATTCCGCGGTCTCATATCTTTGCTGAGCGCGCGAAGAAGCTCGGCGAGCTGTATGGCCTGGAGCTGAAGCCCAGCGAGTGGCACTCGACCGAGGGCCACGCTCTTCGTGTGGAGAAGCCCATCAGGATGCGCGTGCACAGGAAATGCCACCTCTGCAGCACGTCGTTTGGCTTGGGCAAGGAATGCCCGCAGTGCAGGCATGTGCGCTGCAAGGACTGCCCACGCGTGCCCCCGAAGCGCACCGAAGTTGAGAGGGAGGAGAGCCGCAAGAAGCGGGCGGCCATGATCAAGGAACGGGCCGAGAACGCGCCCATCATTCCCGACTGGGATCCAACCCCGAAGAAAATCGTGCTCAAACGACCGGCCAAGACGGGCAACCAGGATCTCTACTACAGGAAGCCTCGGCAGCGCGTACGGAGAAATTGCTGCCAGTGCCAGAGGCTGCTCCAAGGCACGAAGACATGCGAAGGCTGTCAGCACACCCGATGCACCGACTGTCCCCGGGATCCGTAAGTTCACACCTCTGCCTGCCGCCTTATGAGAGGTGGACTCGGTGCTGACTTTCAATGCAGACCCAAGAAGGACAAATATCCGTACGGCTATCCTGGGGATGCTCCCGGTACCAGGGTTGGACACTACCAATGCGCCGCCTGCAAACACATCTTTTCGACACCGCCTACGGACGCCCCAGCCTGCGTCAAATGCTCGCACGCCCAGTGCAATCGGCTAACCCCCAAAAAGGTGGAACCGGAACCCGATCCCGAGATTCTGAAGAGTATACAGGCCAAGATTGAGAGCCTGAAACTCGACAAGTGACGACATCCAGGCGCCGGTCATGTTCTCGACCATCATTGCCTGAACGGCGCTTGAGTTGGAGCCGGATCCGCAAACCGGGAAAATGCCGCGAGTTGGAAGGAGCTGGGGAGAGCGAGCGTCGTCTTCTTGTTCCATTTCGACATTATCTCGATACAATTATTCATCATCCTTTCTCAGAAGTATGAGCGTCATCAGTCACGAAACGTTTCCATCTTTCCTCGAGCATTCAGCGAACCGCTCATTTGTCCACTGGCGTGCGGTCAACATCTCCATATCCCTCGAGCAAACGTTGCATTGCGCTTCCTACGCACATATCTCTTCGTCAAAAAGAGTCGCAAGCCAAGGAAATTATGAGGGTATATCTCGCTGCGCTGCCCGGGACGCCTTCGGCACACACACGAATATACACGCTCACCGGAACATGCGACCACGACCCGATTGCATCTAGACGGTTACACTGCGCTTTTGTATCCCCCCTCCTTGATCTTAGGCTGGGCGGGGCGCCGGGAAAGGGGTAATTCCTAGTCATGGACGGAGGCGACGAGGTGGTAATGGGGGTCTGGGTGCCGTGTGCAACCACCGATTCTTCCGATGCCCAAGCCGCCATCGAAGGGGAAGGGGCTCCTCCAACGATGGACGCAAACATCGGCATGCCAGGACGAAAAATAAACTAGAAGGAGGAGGCGAATGTCACGGACTGATCAGTGGTTGTTTTTTTGGATCGTTTTCCTTACGCATTCAGGTTTTACGGCTCCGTCACATACTAAAGCCACTGATGAAATGAAGATCTCTCTACTTCTCGTCTCCTTGTGGTCCACACCTGGTGTTTCGTCCGGCCAACATACAGCAGCAAAACGTACGCACTCTTGCTAATGAATGACGCTCGGCAATCGGGATCAGATCATGGCTGCTTTTCCATCGCAAAACCTGTGCCGCTTTGGCTAACCTGGCTAAATCTGCCGGTAATCCCAAGCTGATGGGACAAAGACGGAGCCGGAGTTACACGACGACACTCTATCACACCCACCAATAATGCCTTGCCCACACCACAGCGGGCGGCGAATCATGCGACATCTTCCCGAATACCTCTGTCCCTGGCTCCGTGCCATTCGATGCCGTTCCACCCTTCTGGGTTCCATTGTTAATTCATCATGCATGGCCAGTTTTTCAAAACGGAAGGACGTTTGGTCCCATTCTCGCGCACCGTCGGCACAGCGCAGGTTGAGTATTGTACGAAGGGGGCTGAAGCAGTCGTGTCGCAGAGAGTGTATGGGCATTTGGGACGAAGACAAAGCATGCAAGCAATTGTCGATGCCACTCCCCTTCAATTTCTTCAGGTTTCCCCAAAATTGTGAGTGTTTTTCCGTTAAGCTGGCCATGACGGACAAATGAATGGACCCAAACCACTGGGACCGACACACGCACACGTACATTGCGGCGGCAAGGCGCATCAAGCCCTGGCGCCACAGTGGCGCCAGACTGCCTTTTTTGCCCTTGTTTGGCCCGACCCTCCCTTTCCATGCTGGCGGTATCCATATTATGATGAAAGTGCAATTCCTACGGATAACGTAATGCGCGCCCGCGTCGACGGGAACCGACCTTGTGGGATGAGGCGTCAGCATCTTCACCGGTCTGTGGGGTGTGTGTTTCCTTTTTCCTTTTAATTTCAGTGGGGTTCCAAGCGAGGCGCCAACCGCTCTGTCGGAACCGCTCTTCGCTGATCATACGGAAAGGGCAGGGAGAGAGGACAAGGGCTGTCATGGCACGTTTGTTCTTGTCAGATGCTGGCGAGAACTGGGCAAAGGAAGAAAACTCGGAGTGGATTCCATGGCGATCATACCCGGTAGCTGGACAAGGCAGAATCGACCCTGTTACCGATTGTTTGGTAACCGACGGAGCCTGCTATCTAATAACCAACCATCAGCTGAAATGGCTACTGCACGAGCATCGGTAATTGAAGGCAGCAGTGCCGTCAGACAGCTGCAATCGGGCCTTCATCGGTTCAGGCGCCGGGAGAGATGCGAGATGAAACTGACGGGAGAAGGTGCTCGCTTGTTGGATGGGAAGAAACGACGGGAACCAGTCGCTTGAGATCCGGCGGCAGCTGAATAACTCAAGTTGGTGTGGGAAGGGTTCATTCGTGGCGCTGGATCGGGTAGCTGTCGCAAGGGTCGGCCCGGGCATGTGAGAATGCTCTTGTTTGTTCGGGCGCCGGCAGCATTCTCCGTGTGAAGTGCATCGCGAAAACACTTTCTCGGGCGGAGCTCCGAAGGGTTGCCCAGATGGTGGCTGTCTGATGCATTCTGAGCTGGTGTGTTACACGTTATGGCATTGGCTGCCGGCCTTGCAGCATCTCAAGCCGACTGCAAGCTCCTCCCTGATGGACAGCTCACTTGCCGCCACCTCCGGTACGGAACGCCTCCCGGCTTTTCACAGAATGTGTTACACAAGGTAACTTACCGATGCGTGGCGTCAATGGCAAGCGTCGACGGAAAAATCGCGTTTTGCCCCCCACGTTGTGATCAGAGTCCTAGCTGGAAACAGCACGAGCTTAATTATTATTGGACAGAAACCGAGGAGACACTCTGACCTGCAGATCTTATGTTGATTACGTGCACGTCCATGAGTCAGGGATTTGCCTAAACTGGGCGAATCTGCCTCAGGCTGTCCTGAATAGGATATCAACAGTTCATGATTGGTTTGTCTGTACTCCGTACGCCGGTTTAAATATCTATCTCGACCAATTGTTTAAACCTAAGGTAGATTTATATCGTGGTGTGGAAGCAGCTGGGATTGTTGGCAATAAGGTATAATACTACACTTGATTACGTACTGTTACACTGTATATACCGGTATTTGTTAACCCTCACCGCTCCTCCCTTCACAGCCAAGCCGACGACGACCCAGCCGGCTGGGAAGCTGGTGGAGAATTCCCGTCGCTCGGTCTGCCCGCTGCCAGGATGAACGCTGTACGAAGCAGCGGCCTGCGTGTTCCAGCATTTCAAAAGAGTGAAAGGATTCGATGGGCGACAGATTGCAGAAAGGCTATAAAACGGAACAAAAACGGAGGGACAACGCGAGTGCCTTCTGTTTGTGACCAAAGACTTGGTTCTATTACAGTCAACGGCTCCTGAACGGCAGTTTCAGAAGGGCCAAAGCAGACAGTGCCGGTGCTGTTGCCCAAGTGGAGAGAACGTCACTCCTCCGGCTTTGACAAATTCGTACAATACATTGATAATGGCAGGGCCAGACTGCTGCACGGCAGGATAGGCTCAGCAGAGACGGACTTGCCCTCAGCGGCCACCAGAGTCTGCCACCTCAGCGACAGCCTATGACAAAGGCTGCTTTATGCAGCCATCAAGACCCCCTCAGCAAATGGCAGACCACCCGGTCCCCATTTCAAACGCCTCAAATAACCTAGCCCAAACAAACAATAAGAACAACACCCCGTTCTAATTCTCAACAATGCCCACAGGCGCGCTGAACTCAACGCCCACCGCCTCGCCCAGCGTAGCCTTCCTCCCCGCCCTGCGGCCGACATAGATGCCCCCACCGCTATGCCCCCGATTGTTTAGATACGCGGGCGCCTCCTCCAGCAGGCCCCTCTGCACCCAGGCCTGGAGGCGAGGCGGGTCGATGACGCTCATGAGCTTCTCAGTTACGTAGAAGCGGCCCAGGACGTCGTGCTCGGGGCGCAACACCCCTTGCTGTTGGTCTGCTGCGGCGACGAGCGCCCAGGTCCAGCACATACTGTTGTCCCGCTCGATGGCGTTGCGCGTGGCGAGCTCCTCAACGAAGGCCGGGCCGAGGGACTCGGCGGGTACCGGGACGAGGCCCTGCGGGAGGTTATTTGGGGTGGTGTTGTTGGCGGGGACGCGGATCGTGCGGTAGAGGTTGCCTTTGAACTGGAGAGTGGGCCGGGCGCCCGGCGGGGAGGATGGGGTGAGGACCTGGATTTCGGTGATGAGCATGACCAGGTTGAGGTTGGCGTCGGACGGGGATTGGTGGTGATCGAGCTGCTGCGTGGGCTGGGTGTCACTTGCGACGCGGACAGGGTCGCCGACGAACACCATCTCGGTACCGAGATAGATGCCGCGGTAGTGCTGGACGTACAAGGCGCCGTCCGGCGTGGCGCCCTGGCGGAGCAGGTCGAAGGTAGAGAAGGCGTCGTTGATGGTGCGGGCGCCCATCTTAGACGCTTCGAGGCCGAGGATCTGGCGGTTGACCTCGCGCTTCGAGGGGTCCGGCTCTTGGGTGTAGCGGGCGGCGAGGGCCGGCCAGTCGACTGTCTCGAAGGTCTTGTCTTTGAGCTCGTCCATGGCCGTATTGGGAACGCTAAAGGTGAGGAAGGGCCGCATAAACTGGCAATCCTTGACGATGCTGGCTTGCTGCAGCAGGGCGTGGCCGAGCGGCGCCAGCGTGAAGTGATAGCTGGAATCGGACGCACCCGGAGATAGGGGTGTGCCTGGCTTTGGGGTGATGGCGAGGACCACGCCTAGCCTCCAGGCTGCGTGCTTGTACCAGATCAATTCGCCTACGCGGAAGACATTTGTCCATCCAGTAGTCCCTGGCGGAGCCTGGTGCTGCGGCTGCTGGTACTGCGGCTGCTGAGTGGGCGTGGGAGCGGGAAATTGTGTCTGTGTTGGGGCTGCCTGGGTCTTCGCCAGCTCCTGCTTGGCCTTCTCGAGATACTTTGAACACAGGTCGCAGGGACACTGGCTGTTGTCGGTCGAGTCGCTGATCAGCCACAAGGCGTGCAGGGCAAACTCACCGGGGGTGCGGTAGTGGGCCTTGGGGCCGGCCGGGTGGCCGTACAGGTAGTAGTCCCGGGTGCCGGCCTGGGTCCTCACGGCGCATCGCAGCTCGTAGCCCTTGGGGAAGTCGGCGAGTTTGTACTGGCGCTTGTCATCCTTGGGCCCAATCTGGTTCTGGAGATGGCCGGCGACAATGACCTCCCATCGCTCTCGCTGCGCCACATCTTGCTCTTCGTCATCCCTCAGCGCTACGTGGTCGAGCTGGGCGTACCCTTGGCCATCGCTCCGCGCAATGTGGATGGGCCAGTATTCGTCATTTTGCGCAGAGGAACTTGCCATGACTTTGCCCACAAAGTTCCGTGTCTGCTCAGGAGGGGCCAAAACGGTAACTTTTGAGGACAAGAAACCGCCCCCTTTGAACAACAACGAAGACAAGAAGCTGCCGTTGTTGCGGGGGCCCGAGAACTTGAAAGTGGATTTGGTAGTTCATTCGTTTTTCGGGTCCAAGTGCTGACTCAGCTAGGTTTTAGGTGCTCTATAATTGAAAACGGCAAGGAATATGGACCCACTCAGTTTCACTGTTTCGTTTCCCGACTCCGTTTCTCATCTATACTGGGGTATGATTCTAACATTGCTTTGTGTGATCACAAGTTCCACCAATGCGTTGCAAATCTTATTCTTGGCCAACCAAACGTGTTTGCGTGCCACAAAGCCAAGCGGACGCGATCCTGGAAGAGCCGAGTGCCGGCTTCTAAGAAACCGTACTAGGGACCAAGCTGTGAGCGGCAGCATTGCTCATGACCAAGCCATGTCACTGCAGGGACATGTATGTCTAAGAGCCAGACATATTACTTGACATATATCGGGAATGCTCCCTTGGCGATAGAGCCTGGGCGATTATTAATGTCATTGTATACGCAGTTGCTAAAGTCTTTTAAGAGCTTATATAGCATGAACTTATCGTTATTAATAGCTTATTAATTAAATCTTATAACTAATATGAATCGTATTAGAATTTATATCTGGCACTCTTAATAGCCGTCTTGAAATGCTACTAGAGTAAGGAGCTGGTGGAACTAGGTAGATTGACTTCTTATATACTTAGGAGAGCTGTTTCCTAATTCGCGAGCTAACTTAGTATATTGTTCTCGGCCTATGAGTTGATTGTCACTGTCACGGGTAGTGACAGTGTGAGGTTCATGTGCGCAACTCCTGGTTCGACTGGACAGTTCGAACCACGGTCCCTCTTTTGAGGGTGTTACGCAGTGGTCAGTTGCGCCCACCCGTGACAGTCACAAATGAACCAACGAGAGCCAACAGCGGCGCTTACTTGCAGAAGCCAGTGGAGAACGTAGGACGTTCCGAGCCAATCACTTAGGACCAATCGTAACGAGTCCTGGAGGTGCTCCAGAGAGCTCTCAGGAGCATGAGAGAGCACCAGTGTAAGGCCAATCAGAGGACGCTCTAAGAGGCT